ATAAGCAATTAGCAGAATGAAAAGTCCAAATGGCTAAGCAAATATAGATGTGCAACGTTATTAATAATATGAGAAATGCAAATTTAAAAGAAATGCCATTTTGCATCAAAGAATTTGACAGAACATGGAAATCAGATAATTCAGGAGGAGGTGAGGATGTAGGTAAACATGAAAGCCTCACACCTTGCCAGTGAATGTGTGTCAGTTACAGAGAGCCATTAAGTGCTAAGTGAAATTATTGTATTTCCATACCCCAAATAAAGGAGAGCTCTTTGATAAAGGGCAGCAGGTAATGTTTTAACAACACACACATTATCTTTATTTCACTATGGATCCAAGGACACCAACATAGACTGTCACTAGTCTATAGACCAGCTGTTATAAACTAATTTCTACCAGTGTGTTTTATTTATTTTTTTAGTTGCACTGCATAGCTTGCCAGGTCTTAGTTCCCAGATCCAGGGATTGAACCCAGGCCATGGAAGTCAAAGTGCCAAGTCTTAACCACTGGACTGCCAAGAATCTATCAATGTGTTTTAGACATGAAGAAAATCTTAATATTCTTAGCATCTAATTTTTTTACAGTTTAGAGTTTCATATCTTTAAGAGGACTGGCTTCCTGATGCCTGATTAATGGAATGTAAAATTCACAAGAAGTTAAGATAAAGTGAAGGACTTCCCTGGTGGTCCAGTGGCTAAGACTCCATGCTCCCAAAGCAGGGCCCAGGTTCTAACCCTGGTTGGGGAACTAGATCACACATGCCAGCAAAGTCAAATTTTAAAAGAAAAGGCAACATAAAGTGATTTTCAATTTTATAGGATGGAGAGCCAATTACAAGGTTAAACTCTTAGATACTTCAGAGTTTTCCCACCTCTACAGTGTATAGAGCACTTAAGTACAAAAGTCTGAGAAACACACAGATAATAAGAAGGGACATTTATTGAATATCCATTGATCTTTAGCTAAATAAAATTAAGATATAAGGGTATTTTTTCTTTCTGTAATGGGAAATCAAGCTACACAATATAACCTGGTTGGTAATTAGAACTGTAACTTCCTTTAGCTATTTTTTCTACCTCCACCCTGAATATAACCTATTGTAACATTAGGTTGTGAAATAAGAGGCCTTCCCCTCATTGAATTCATTTGCCATGGTCTGATAAAATATACAATGGATTATTCAAATTAGTATGGCCTAAACAGCAATTGTAGCTTGCATATGCGCTGATTTTAAAAGGCTTACTGTCTCAATAAGCATATCCACATGCTTTACCCTAAAAATAAATTTGTTACCCAACTCTATTCCAATGGTGAAAATCATTCCCAGAATTCACATAGCTGTGAAATAGTTTTTTTTCTTCCTGTCTTTTATCACATGTTCAAGTACTTAAAAAGTTAGATTATACTAAAGCATATGTATAGTATTATTTGATGAGTTATTAAAAGAAAAATAGTCTACATTGTATTGTATGCTTTAAACAGCTGAACTTTATAGTGTTTAATTATATCTCAGTAAAGCTGATAGAAAATCAATCATCTAGTCTTGTGGCTCTTCACTGTAGCATAATGGGATCAGAGGCAAAGAGGAGGAGTGAAATGAGGGCTGACCAAACAGGAAGTGGGTTAAATCCCCAGGCTGTTTTATTTGGCCCTTAGTGACCAAACAATGAGAGGAAGAGAGGGAAGAGGAGAGAGAGAGAGAGAGTGTGTATTTGTCTGGGAGGTTGGCTCTGTGAACATGGTAGGAAGCACCAGGGCAAAAAGTGAAGAACCAAATATCATAGTTAAAACACTTCTTCTCATGAATTCCTAAAAACATAACCTAACTTAGAGAAGACTTCTGTCACACAGTAATGAAACATGATAGTCTTCATTCCTCACCCATGAATAAGCAAGCCATTTCGAAAACAGTAGTGAGAGCACAGGGATTTCACGTTAAACGAAGACTTCTTTCTGTGACCTGTCAACAACTTTCATGATTGCTTAAGTGAAAACTGAAGCTGCATTTAGAATCAAGAATTTTAAAACATCTAAGATTGTACTATATGTGAAAGGAACAATTTTGACAGAAAAGAATACAAACTAAAAAAAAAAGACAACACATAGATGATAAAACATAGAATGCTGTTACACATTTATTTTTATTGCTAAACATTGAATGCCAGCAACTATGGTATCTTCAAGTTAAATTTAGTTGTAAGATTTATAGAAAAAAATACTTGTGTACCACTAGTATGTGGACATTCAATAAATACCACAGGACAAACTGATGACTAAGAGCCACATACCCATAAAGCCCGGTTTAAACAATTTACCATTGGAACAGATGACTTATAAGAGCAATTATCAAAAGGTCAAGTTTAACTGAATGTCTTTTCAAACAGAGATGCTGAAAAGGATATATACATTCTTTACAGGTTTTAAGTGATTAAAAACAACCCTCAAAAATGTAAACAATGCAGAGTAGGAACGCTGAAAATACAGTTTTACTGTTGAACAAGTGACAACACTTTCTTCAAATCCTTAATACAATTCATTTTTTAGGTGGCTCTACAGAAACCAAAGTGAACTATATCCATAAAGATGATAATCTACCAGGGACACAAAGATCTTCCAAGCTATTTTTTTATGTTAACATATATTTACATGAAATATTCAATAACACTTTTTACAGCTTACTTAAATAGAAACATGATTTTCTAATCCATAAATAACACTAAACATCATTCATTCAACCACATTTATTAAGTAGTTTTGATGTCTCATGCACTGTACCAGGGATAGAAAGATAAGTATGACATGGTCCTTGCTCTAGAAGTGTCCACAATGAGGCTGAAGAGACAACACATAACATTTCCTTTCTTACACAATGAGGCTATTTCTGTAAAAACAGGACTGAACAGCTCAATATCCCAATAGACTGTTCCCAAATTCTGACCCAATGGAGCAGAAGACCAAGATGTTTAAAAGCCATAAGAAAATGATGTGCTTGTTGTTTTTTTTAATCCGGAGAAAGGAGTTTATGGGTAAGATTTCATCTATTAAATTTTTTTCTCAGTTTTTAAAAAAAATGACATGCATGTATATAGCAATTCCATTAGTAAACTGCTTAGTTCATGTAATCAAATCAATAATATAAGTATTTCATGGTAGTCCTCAAGCTTTATTACCTGAATAGGTCTGTGCATTATTCTGCTAATATACTTTAATCCTGAAAGACTGTCTGCCTGAGAATAGAACAAATGCTTTTTCCCTGGGATAAACCAATAATTTGTACAGTTTTTAAGTAGTGGTAATAGAGGTCATTTAAAAAATATTAAAATTATATTCAATATACAATTTCTCTTCAAGAAGGCAGGCAGATTTATAACACAATCTAAAGTTTCCTTAAAAATGATTAAAAAGTTTTATTGCCTAAGAGCAACTAAGGAATCTGAAAGAGGTGAACCCCTTGAATATCTCACTTAGAGAAAAAGTTGGATACAGGACTATTGATGTTTTTGAGTATATGAGAGCCCAGATTTTTCATCAAAGCAACAGCATGCTCATATACTTTTAATACTAATAGCTTCACACTGGCCTATTGACTTCCTAGATCTTCCAGGGCTGCTGCACCAGTTTGAAAGATCTCAAACTAGGCAGGGCTCTTTCGGGCTCAAGAGTCAGTTACCAGGCTCCAGCAAATGCACATTTGTTCTCACACCTAGCCATTCTCACTCTACTATCAAGTCTTTTGTGGACCCACAGAGGTAGCTTAGGGGAAAGGCAGAAAGGAAGAACTAAGTATTTAATTCCCCAACACAGAGAAACATGGAAGACATTGGTGAGGACAGAGTATGCTTCATGGCTTAGAGTAATTGCTTCTTGAAGACAGGAGCCTAGGAACTAGGTCCAAGGTAGCCCCAGCAGCACAAGAGAAAATGTCTATTCTGGAGCGGTTCCAAGCTTTGAAGCTTGTAGAGAAAGGTAACCAGGACTGCACAAGGTTCTGTGATCTGTCTTGTGATCTGCTGCCAAGAGCCAGCTGGCTCAGTTTTGAGGTTCACCCCTAACTGTCTCAAGCTCATATGCTGCAGGTAGGAGATACTTCCTACAGCTCATTCTGAATGTCAAGGCTGCTGCTGCTTTATGCGGGTATGAGGGCATATTATCAAAGAGGCAACTCTTGGGTGGCAAGGCATGTCTCATGATATTATAGAGTCTACTTCCGAGGTGTTCATTTACTGGGATCATTTAACAAAGATGTTCCCTTTTGCATTGGCAGTTTCTCTTATAGAATTATATTAATTGTAATCAGACCTCAGTTGTCAAGAGTACAAAACAATGTGTGTTAGTTGCTCAGTCGTGTCTGACTCGTTGCAACCCCATGGACTGTAGCCTGCCAGGCTCCTCTGTCCATGGGATTTCCCAGGCAATAATACTGGAGTGGGTAGCCATTCCCTTCTCCAGGGGATCTTCCCAACCTGGGGATTGAACCCAGGTCTCCAGCATTGCAGGTGAATTCTTTAACATCTGAGCCACCAACATACCACTGAATTTTAAAATACTTTTCCAACAAGACTAAAGACAAGAAATATAGACCAAGAAAATGCTCACCTTCCCACTGGGCCAAAGTCTGGTCTTCTTCAAATCTGAATTAATGATGCTTTTTCAGGAAGTTTTTTCTCAATTAATCCTACCCAATTCTGTTTTCCTTTACAGTATTTCAATACAGTATGTAGCCACACAAAAATGGTTTAACATGAATTTGCACTTGTTTCAGTTGTTCCACAAGCATCTGAAGTTTGTAGGTTCAGTCTGTAAAACTAGAATGTAATCATGGAGTATGTCTTTCATTTCTTCTGTTTCACCCCGGTCCCAGAGTTTGGATATGCTGAATAAAGAACTTAAAGTTGTTGGCTAAAATGCAATTTTAAGGAAACAGTTTTTATTTCATACCAAGTAAGGTTTTCAGTATTATATATTGTAACTCAGAGATTCTATCAGATGAGTCCAAATATTACCGTGCTGTAACCATCCAGAGGCCCAGGGTCACATTGGCAGCCAAAAGTAAACTGCCACCAAGCAAGATGAAAAATCCTATCAGATCTTTGACATCATTGTCTCCAATCACTGAGGTAAGAGTAGCATCTAGGAAAGAGTTTAAAATCCACTGTCCGTCCAAAGCAAAGCAGGGCACTGCATTAACAATTGCCAGCGCTCCCGAGAGGGAAATGAGGTACCTGGGTGCAATCAGTTAAGGAACCTACTGTGAAGTCTGCATGCAAAGCCATTTCTGGGAGTCAGAAGCGTGCATTTTACCAGGAGTGGATTTGAGCTTACAGGTGACTTCTCTCCTTTTTTAAAATCTCTGCCCACCAGTAAATGCTATTGCTTCTTAGATCTCTATTTAAAACAAATGATTTGTATTATTTCAAAGTTAAAAAAACTTGACAAAAAAATGAAGGCCAACCACCTGTACACTGAGGCAGTCTGTAATGAATTCCTTGAAAGACTTTCTCTTTAATGATACAAGAGAAAGGAATATGGAAAGAATAAGAAATGGGGGAAAATTCCTCTTCAATCCTTACAAAGTATAGCTTAGATTTATAAAGATTTTAGTCCCTTGAACTCTATTTTACTATCATCTGTAAGGTCATAGTGTAAATATCTCTGAGATAAAGCTGCAGTCTACAAGGTACAATTTTGACTGTGTCCTTTTTTCAGTAACTCATTTGTTAACTAATATTTGCTCATCTACTTTCTGTCTCTGATTTTTTGAAATCATTAAGGAAAGAAATTAAAGATTTTTTTTTCAAAATTAAAATTTAAAAGTGACAAAAATAAAGAACCTTTTCAAACTGTTCAAATATATTCAAATTCTATATAATAACCAATTAAAAATCTCTTTATATGCAAACATAATATGCTAAAGAACACATGAGATTCTGTGGAGTGCTATTTCAGTAGTGGAAATCAGTTTGATGCCCCTTATGCATTCCTCCATTTGGTCAGAGTCAACAAGCTCAGGAGGGGTGGAACATAGCACCTCATTTAGTAGCTGAAGACTTCATCCTTTATAAACATACTCCAAGGTTTTAGACCTCTAAATTTCAACTCTCAGTTTGTCTTCTAGGTTCTTTCCCTTCCACACCTTAACCTTTCTCTCTTCCCAGTCAATTTCTCTTCTTTGACTTCTTCCTTCCTAGGTACAATCTGATCTTTCTCAACATTAAAATCCTTTTTTTTTGTATTAGCAGTAGATTGATACTTGTAAGGTCTGTTCAAGCTCTCTAATCAAGGTAAAACTCATCAAGTTCCAAGTAGCACACTTTTAAAATATCTTTCACACCAGAAAGGATACTTGACAAATGTCTCCACAACCACAGGCAGATCTATGCTTAGAAACTTGAAACGTGGGATAAAACTGGTGATGCTCACTAAAAAAGAAAAATAAGAAATAATTAATAGCATTTATACAGATAAGCAACAGAATAAAGAATTTTACTATGTGGGTCAAGACTGGATTAGCCTATTAAACTGATTTGAGAAAGCCCTACCCAAACATATGCAGACAGGCTCGATGGCCCAACTACAAAAGTAAATCAACAATTCTAGAACATCTAATAAAAAAAGTGGGATACAGAAATTCATGTCTCAATGTACATTTATATTGTGAGGTGAGACTAAAATAAAAACTGATTATATACCAACTATGACTACCAAATACAGAGAATGACTTTACACTAGAATTTATATCAAAACAATTCTTATCTTTTCAAAGAGGTATAACCTTAAAATCATGTTCACTCCAACTATTATGTGACTTAATCTTTTTTGGTCTCAGTGTTTTCTTCATTGCTAAAAAAAGGATTAACACTAGGGGATTTTTACGATTTCCTTCACTTTGTGGATTCCATTATTCTCTTTTTCTTAAAACACTTAAAAACTGTTATAATTAAATAGAACTCATAGCACACATTTCTTGAAAATTACCTTGAAGAGGGTTATTTCTACATTTGTTGAGGATGTATATAATATCTGTACTCCAGAGACACCTAGTGTCAAAACAATAAATGAGAAGAATGACCTGACTTGTATCTTAAGATATGACTACAAAGCAATGAGAGAGCCTTTTAAAGAGTAACATAAAACCCACATGTCCATCAACTGATGAATAAATACAGAAAAAGTAATATATCCATACAATGGAATATTACTTCACCATAAAAAAGGAATGATGCACCAACACAAACCACAACATGGGTGAACCTTGAAAACATTATGCTAAGTGGAAGAAGCCAATCACAAAATATTCTATTTATAGGAAATGTGTGGAAACAAGCAAATTTACAGAAACAGAAGTAGATTAAGTGGTTGTCAAGGGATGGGGTGGGTGGGTGTTGAGAAGTAGAATAGGTTCCTAATCAGTATAGGCTTTTTTTGCAGTGATGAAAAAATACTGGAACTAGATTGTGCTGATGGTTCTACAACTCTGAATATATTAAAAACTACTGAACTGTATACTTTAAAAGGGTAAATTCTATGATATGTGAATTATATTTCAGTAAAAGTTATTAAAAAGGTAACATATAAAAATCTTATACAACAAAATAAGTTAGACTGTATAATCTTGTTCATTTCAGTTGCTAATCGTGTCCGACTCTTTGCAACCCCATGGACTGCAGCACGCCAGGCTTCCCTGTCCATCACCAACTCCTGGAGCTTGCTCAAACTCATATGTCCATCAAGTTGGTGATGCCATCCAACCATCTCATCCTCTGTCATCCCCTTCCCCTCCTGCCTTCAATCTTTCCCAGCATCAGGGTCTTTTCAAATGAGTCAGTTCTTTGCATCAGGTGGCCATAGTATTGGAGCTTTAGCTTCAGCATCAGTCCTTCCAATGAATATTCTGGACTGATTTCCCTTAGGATGGACTGGTTGGATCTCCTTGCAGTCCAGTTCAGTTCAGTTCAGTCACTCAGTCTTTGAATGACTCTTTGAGACCCCATGAACCGCAGCATGTCAGGCCTCCCTGTCCATCACCAATTCCCGGAGTCTACACAAATCCATGTCCATTAAGTCAATGATGTCATCCAACCATCTCATGCTCTGTCATCCCCTTCTCCTCCTGCCCTGAATCTTTCCCAGCATCAGGGTCTTTTCAAATGAGTCAGCTCTTTGCATCAGGTGGCCAAAGTATTGGAGTTTCAGCTTCAACATCAGTCCTTCCAATGAACATCCAGGACTGATCTTTAGGATGGACTGGTTGGATCTCCTTGCTGTCCAAGGGACTCTCAAGAGTCTTCTCCAACACCACAGTTCAAAAGCATCAATTCTTCAGTGCTCAGCTTTCTTTATAGTCCAACTGTCACATCCATACATGACCACTGGAAAAACCATAGCCTTGACTAGAGGACTTTTTTTGGCAAAGTAATGTCTCTGCTTTTTAATATGTTGTCTAGGTTGGTCATAACTTTCCTTCCAAGAAGGAAGTGTCTTTCAATTTCATGGCTGCAATCACCATCTGCAGTGATTCTGGAGCCCAGAAAAATAAAGTCAGACACTGTTTCCACTGTTTCCCCATCTATTTGCCATGAAGTGATGGGACCGGATGCCATGATCTTAATTTTCTGAATGTTGAGCTTTAAGCCAACTTTTTCACTCTCCTCTTTCACTTTCATCAAGAGGCGTTTTAGTTCCTCTTCACTTTCTGCCATAAGGGTGGTGTCATCTGCACATCTGAGGTTATTGATATTTCTCCCAGCAATCTTGATTCCAGCTTGTGCTTCCTCCAGCCCAGCGTTTCTCATGATGTACTCTGCATAGAAGTTAAATAAGCAGGGTGACAATATACAGCCTTGATGTACTCCTTTCCCAATTTGGAACCAGTCTGTTGTTCCATGTCCAGTTCTAACTGTTGTTTCCTGACCTGCATACAGGTTTCTCAAGAGGCAGGTCAGGTGATCTGGTATTCCCATCTCTTTCAGAATTTTCCAGTTTATTGTGATCCACACAGTCAAAGGCTTTGGCATAGTCAATAAAGCAGAAATAGATGTTTTTCTGGAACTCTCTTGCCTTTTCGATGATCCAGCGGATGTTGGCAATTTGATCTCTGGTTCCTCTGCCTTTTCTGAAACCAGCTTGAACATTTGGAAGTTCACGGTTCACACATTGCTGAAGCCTGGCATGGAGAATTTTGAGCATCACTTTACTAGCGTGTGAGGTGAGTGCAATTGTATGGTAATTTGAGCATTCTTTGGCATTGCCTTTCTTTGGGATTGGCGTGAAAACTGAGCTTTTCCAGTCCTGTGGCCACTACTGAGTTTTCCAAATTTGCTGGCATATTGAGTGCAGCACTTTCACAGCATCATCTTTCAGGATTTGAATTAGTTCAACTGGTATTCCATGCTTGCAGTCCAAGGGACTCTCAAGAGTCTTCTCCAACACCACAGTTCAAAAGCATCAATTCTTTGATGCTCAGCTTTCTTTATAGTCCAAGTCTCACATGCATACATGACTACTGGACAAACCATAGCTTTGACTATACGGATCTTTGTTGGCAAAGTGATGTCTCTGCTATGCTATCTAGGCTGGTCATAGCTTTTCTTCCAAGGAGCAAGCGTCTTTTAATTTCATGGCTGCAGTCACTATCTGCAGTGATTTGTGGAGCCCCCCAAAATAGTCTGTCACTGTTTCCATTGTTTCCCCTTCTATTTGCCATAAAGTGATGGGACCGGATGCCATGATCTTCATTTTTGGAATGTTGCATTTTAAGCCAGCTATTTCACTCTCCTCTTTCACTTTCATCAAGAGGCTCTTCAGTTCCTCTTCCCTTTCTGCCATAAGGGTGGTGTCATCTGCATATCTGAGGTTATTGATATTTCTCCCTGCAATCCTGATTCCAGCTTGTGCTTCATCCAGCCCAGCATTTTGCATGATGTACTCTGCATAGAAGTTAAACAAGCAAGATGACAATATACAGCCTTGACATACTCCTTTCCCAATTTGGAACCAGTCTGTTTTTCCATGCCTGGTTTTAACTGTTGCTTCTTGATCTGCATACACATTTCTCAGGAGGCAGGTCAGGTGGTCTGGTATTACTATCTCTTGAAGAATTTTCCACAGTTTGTTGTGATCTACATAGTCAAAGGCTTTGGCATAGTCAATGAAGCAGATGTTTTTTGGGAACTCTCTTGCTTTTTCTATTATCCAACAGATGTTGGCAATTTGGTCTCTGGTTCCTCTGCCTTTTCTAAACCCAGCTTGAACATCTGGAAGTTCTTGGTTCATGTACTGTTGAAGCCTGGCTTGGAGAATTTTGAACATTACTTTGCTAGCGTGTGAGATGAGTGCAAATGTGCAGTAGTTTGAACATCCTTTGGCATTACCTTTCTTTGGGATTGGAATGAAAACTGACCTCTTCCAGTCCTGTGTCCACTGCTGAGTTTTCCAAACTTGCTGGTGTATTGAGTGCAGCACTTTCACAGCATCATCCTTTAGGATTTGAAATAGCTCAGCTGGAATTCCATCACCGCCACTTGTCTTTGCACTCCAGGATGTCTGGCTCTTGATGAGTGATCACACCATTGTGGTTATCCGGGTCTTTAAGATCTTTGTGGCATAGTTCTTCTGTATGATCTTGAGCCATATGGAAAAGCTATATATTTAATCCAATCATGTTGCCACTGTTAAAACAATTACGCTGGTCTGATTCTGAAATTATATTCATATAAAATTCATGTGTTATTCACAAATTACTTTATCATCATTATCACTATATTACTGGCATTTTCTGGCATATGCTACTTTTGCTACTGATTTGGGAGCTTGGAGAAATTAAATAAATGCTTAGAGAATATCTGAGATTTAATCTATATGACTTGGACATAAATGGTAGTGAAGAAAAAATATGTCTTTCTCCATAAGTAGACATGGGGTTTATCTCCATCTTGCTTTATAAATTCAGATTATTTTCCTACTGCCTAAATTTCATTTAATGCTTAAGAAAAAGTTAACAAGATTTTGAAAACTGATCAAACAAATGAAATTAATGCAAGGTGTGTACTGAGTTTCTACCAGTGAGAATATAGGCCATCATAGCGATGTCTGAGGGTCTACCACAATAAAACTCACCTGTGTAGTGAAGGTGCAGCGGATGTCCTACATATAACATATCAATTTGAGGTGGGTGTTTCACTTTTATTAAGCGCGTATGAGTTTCCAAAGAAGGTATTATACAGAAACTTGAACTTGAGCTTTTTTTACAGTCTTTATTGGTTCTACAAACTTGGGTGGCTTCAACTGCTTTCCGGGCAGGTAGACATGTATGCTAGGGACAGAACATCAATTAGTCAACACTAAAAATGATTCATTAACAAGCAAAACACCAAGTTAAATTCTTTCAATATCTTTCACATCACCAAACATATTAGGAATGAAGTTCAATAAAGGAAATGCCATTCATGTATCTCTACTATAAATTAGATTCAATTATTCTACTCTGGCCAAACAAGATATTATTATTATAAACATTTTAAAGATTCTCAGATGAAATATGACATGTGAAATATAGAGATTTTAATAAAATGGTATAAACCAAACGGGCAATGCTTTCAAGGATTGTATTTTAGTTCTACATGATTATATAATTATATCAGGCAATCAAGACTGTTTCAGGGACAACTTACCAAACGCTTATTAAAATTATTTCTATAGGAAAAGCAAACATCTGTAAGGCTGTGATTGTTACAGCATTCAGTTGAACCGTCTAGCCGTTTGTATGCTTAAAGAGAAATGGTTTATTAAAATCTGTTATTAAAAGAAGTACACAATGCACAGAAGTACATTTGTAATAAGAATTTTGCTTTCAAGACAAAAAGAATTAAGCAAAATGCATATGAACTCAGAAACAACTGTATAACTGACAGTTCAGATTGTTGGCTACTTGCTGCAGAGTTTGATTTTACATTACAAAAAGAGATACATCCAATTTGAATGAAGAAGCAACAATGACCATAGGTTAGTTGTCTTCTCTTAAACTTACCTACTCACGAAGCTGGAGTTTCAGGGTCTCAATAGGTTTTGCAGTAACTCCAGCTGGTCAAGCACAAATGAGCTACTTTTAGATGACCTAATGCTGTGGATCCAGTATCACTATGGAACTCCTGCACTGTGGTGTTAGCAGAGTGAGCGAGAGAATGCCTAAGAGACTCTCATCCTGAAGGACATCTCTATCATATCAAATATCTATTTCATCTCCAGGGTTATCTTCAGGTTTTCCCCACAGAACCAGGGCAGTCCAATTTGACCACACAGATGTGCACATATTTGCGTGCATACTAGTAACCCAGTTATTCTTGGAAGGCAATGGAAAAAGGGCAACTATTCCCATTAATCATTTATTTTTTCGAGTTCTTTGGTAGACTGCTTCACTGTATCTAGGGGAGAATAAAGAAGTTAAATCACTCATACAGCTGGGACAGAATTTTTTTCCTATCCATTTATTTCGGAAGGTTTCCTGCATTCAGCACATCAAACTTATAGAGCAAAACTGATGTGTGGCAAGGACCAATTAAGGGCTCCCCAGGTGGCTCAGTGGTAAAGAATCTGCCTGCAATGCAGGAGACGTGGGTTCGATCCCTGGGTGGGGATGATCCCCTGGAGAAGAAAATGGCAACCCACTTCAGTATTCTTGCCTGGAAAAGCCCATGGACAGAGGAGCCTGGTGGCCTACAGTCCTTGGGGTCACAAAGAGTCAGACATGACATAGCAACTAAACAACCATGAGGACCAATTAAATTTAGAATTTTATATACATATGACCATACTCAGATATGCTGAAGAAAGAGAGTAATGTTATCCCTGATTTCCAATACTACAAAAAGCTTTCCTATTAACAAGAGTGTCTTTAGGAGTACTAGCATGAAAATGGTTGTTGATATGCAATCTGACTTTACAAGGATTCTTATTTCAGGCAAAGATTTTTTGTTTTTAAATCTTTCTTTTCTAGATTATTTGATTAGATTGGATCTCCTTAAACACGAATTGTTGCCAACACGAAGAGCAAAACACAGGTGAAGTAAACTAACAGATGCACCAATTTCTCCTCTGCAATGGCTGGCTCTATGGGTGGTTTTGCTTTGTTTTCTTACCATAACTGAATAGGTATTTAAATTCTGGGTGATGAGTAATATTTAAAATATGAAAGCAAACTATGAGCATCTAATGGCACAAACTCGTGCCTATAATCACTCATCAGCCCTAATGGTAAACTCTAAGGTAAAAAGGTGTTTAGAATTAAAAAAAGAAATCAGTCCAGGCAAAAGACCTCAGTATGCTCTCTAATCAGTTGCCAAGTTATACCAATATTTACCTCATTATTTTTCTCTTTATCTATTCCCACTAAAGGGTAGACTTCAATTCTTTCTCACTTGACCCATTTGAAGAGAATCTTAATGCATCTATTTTACCACCTACTTCATATGTAAACTTGTCCTAGACACTGAATGCTTCAGATTAACCTTCCAATGTAAAACTCTGAGAATGTAGCTCTTCTATTTAATAATTTAAATTTTCAAAGACCCTGCATTGCTTCCAAATAAAGTCTAAACTTCATAGCCTAAAACAAAGATTTCTACTTTTTTTTAATCACCTTATCTCATACTCTTCTCTTGCTGAACCAAATCATTAGCAGCTCCCTGATCTGTGGTGCCAAGATTGATTTACAACAGTCTCTTGAAATTAAACTCACTGTTGAGGACCAGCAACAGTGCTGCTACTGCTAAGAGTTGCTGCTATGAAAACTCCTCATCGTTTCAGTCAAGACCAACTACCATCAACTCTCACAACTCCCAATATCTTTCATCATTCCTTATATTTAACCTTGTACTGTAATGTGGACATGGTATATTTCTTTGATTAGACTGTAAGGACTATGAAGGAAAGGTTTCTCAGCATTTTATGTAAGGTGGATAGCTCAACATGCACTGAATACATAGATGATGTTCTATGCTACTTGCCTTTATATATCAGTAATGATTTTTAAAAATTTCCTCTGATGCTTGATACTTAGCTTTTCATGGAGGAGTGTAAGCAATAGAGAATTGAAAGTCAATTGATATCACTGTTGATATGGCATGTCTAATAAAAAGCTTAAAGGGGCCAAGCAAGTATCAAATATATGAAGTGGATGGTATATGGAAAAAATTGGAAATGGTGGGGACTGTGATGAATTAGAGAACACATACCCTGTTCTAAGTAGGGTAAGCAGCCAGGCCACTTGACATGGGACTGAGGGTCAAGAGATGATCCATTTTATTTCAAGAGAGATACAAAGTCTCGACTCTCGTGGGAAAGTTTTTTCTTTTTTTGGCTGGGATTCAAGGCATGTGGGTCTTAGTTCCCTCACCAGGGATTGAACCCATGCCCCCTCCAGTGGTAGTGTGGAGTCTTAACCACTGGGCTGCCAGGGAAGTCAAATCATACACATTTACCAAGGCTGGATTTGGCCTCTATGGTATCAGTAATATGTGACCTCTGGGTTATGGCTTCTTCTTATAGTGATTAAACCAATCAAAACAAAAGTCAATGGCTGTGGCTGCCCTGACAAGATGAAGTACCTCCTGACATATGGAATTTTCCATTTAAAGAGTTTAATATTTTGTTGTCATGTGAGAAGTAAACTGTGACATTTCTGTTTATCAATTAAAAAATATATATGTTTAAAAATATACTTTATTTTACAATCTTTTCTAATGGGTCACATTAAAGGACAAGTCACTTCATTTCTGTGATTCAATTCTTAACCTATAAGACAGGGATGCCAAAGGTAATTTTCACATTGCTATACTGCTATCAACAGGAGGGGCTTCCCAGATGGCTTAGTGGTAAAGAATCTGCTTGCCAAGCAGGAGACATGGGTTCGATCCCTGGGCTGGGAAGATCCCCTGGAGAAGAAAATGGCAACCCATTCCAGTATTCTTGTCAGGGAACTCCCATGGACAGAAGAGCCTGGCAGGTTATACTCCATGGGGTCACAAAGAGTCAGATACCACTGAGTATGGACACACACATCAACATGAGACACTGATCCAATTCTACATTGGAAGGCACATTCAAGACTGCAGTGGGGAGACCTCCTTGGTGGTCCAGTGGTTAAGATTCCATGCTTCCATTGCAGGCGGCTCAGGTTCGATCCCTGATTGGGGAACTAAGATTCCATAAGCCGTGCAGCCAAAAAAAAAAAAAATGCAATGGGAAGTCCCAGAAGCTGTCTTGGCTTCAATTTAACTCTAGGAGATTAGAATTGTCCTTTAAATCTCCCCAGATGGGGAAACAACTAGGAAAATTAAGACCAGATTAGTTTCATAATTCCACTACAGGGAGAACCTGTATATTTTGAATGTACCCTAAGGTACTTGTAGATATAGTCTAGTCGTCAAAGGATGGTCTAAACCAGAGGTTATTTTAGAATAAGTTTGGAAGGAAGAAACTTTTCCAGTCTATAGTTCACAGTCTTCACTACTTTCTACATCACTAAAATGAACTGAACAATTTTCTTACCCTAGTTTAATAAATATTTAACTGTAACTAGAGTTCCAATATAGGCAGGCAAACCTATTTATTCTTAGTTTTATAGTAGAATTTATACCAGCATCACCTAGTAAAAAACAGTTTAAAAAATTATAAACACACACACACACACACACACACACTCTCTCTCTCTCTCTCTCTTTTCAATGGATAAGAGCAAAGAAACCTTGACCCTACCTTGATACTCACAATGGGAGAACATACACTTTTTCTCTGAACATGAGAGATTTGGGCATAAAAATATCAATCTAAGTACTCAAACTGTATGGAAAAGATTTCCAGAGTTTTCCTTACATCATCTTAAACCAGGTCAGGAATGGTCTTTTCTCACTTCAGTTAAAGATGCATAAGACGGGACAACACTCCTTTTGCCAGGCAGTTACAAGTATATACCCTCACCTCCTCTGAACAGGAATATAGGTTATTCAAAGGGGCTGCAGGAGTCTGGGCTCATAGATTAATTTTAGGTAGCAGTTGCCTTTAGTATTCAATCTCATGCTTTTTAAAAACGCAGCTCAAATGCTGGACTTAGTAGCCTTTCTTACTCAAGACAACACTTACAAAAAAGAAAAAAGGAACTTAGCTTTAGGCATATATGAACAGTGCCCCCTCAAACTAAAGAAAGAGAATGCAAGCTACTTGTTACAACATAGTTCAAAGGGACTTCCCTGGTGGTCCAATGGTTAAGACTCTGTGCAGAGTTAAGACCCTCTGCAGAGGGTGCAGGTACAATTCCTGCTTGGGGAACTAACATGCCATGCAGTGAGACCAAAAATATGTCCCCCAGAAGAACCAAACTAGTTCTTGTCTGTAACTTTTAGTTCCATTCAAATGGAACTAATGGCATATGGATACACGGCAATTCTAAATTAAGCAGAGGTTTGAATATGAATAGGGGAAAAGTTTGTTCTGTTCTGACTCAGAATGAAACAAGAGATGTATTCGAGGTACAAAGGTCTTCAAGCCCTCACCCAGTGTCCTTTCTGGGGCTTCCTGGAAAGGCTATTCAATCCCCAAGGAGTGTATGGGACAAGCTCATTAGGCTTACTCCATGCACCAAGGGCAGAGGTGAAAAAAAAAACAGCCTTGGCTCTGTTGATGCCGCTCCTAGGTTAGCAGGTTAATGTTTACAAATAAAAAAGGAAAGGATCGACAGAAGAAAAACAGAAGGTCCCAATAATTTCATAAAATGAATGGTCATTTCATGTAGATTAACCACATCTTTAAAAATTTGCCAGAAATCCACCTGCTAACATTTAAAGGAGAACATTTAGTATGCTTAATATCTTAGGGAATAGCTTTAAAAATCTAATAATACACCTAGGAAAGTCAGGGTATGAAATAAGACCAGAAATGATTGGCTGGGATAGCTTACGGGCCCTTTCAGGGTCAGATCTTTTCAAAGTGGCTTTACTGTTTTGAAATGGTATAAATTCTTAAAATTTTAATTGTATATACCTAATTTTATTCTAAATTGAGTATCAATTACTTTTGGATTATAGGTTACATTACATTATCATATATGGCTATATCTATGCTCTCAATTATAATGTACGGTAACAAGTGTACCTAGATACATGTAAAACAATATCAATCTGTAGCTTTCTTAAATGTCCATAGCTCCAGTGGTCAAGCCTGTCACTTAAATTAATCTAGTATAAGTTATATTTATAGTCATTAAGATTTCTACAATCTGGCTAAGTATAGGCACTCCATTAAAAAATGATTAAATGAAGGTACAGGTTTATCAGCTACAGTCACAATATAAAATCAACAAGTATCCTAATACAGTCACTTCTAAGGAGATGAAATATATTATTCTTTTTGGATTGATTTTTTTTTATTAGTGTGGGAGTGTGATAAGAGTAATACCTGCTTTGGGTTTTCAAGTAAATACCTCCAAAATGTAGCATAGGATCCATAATAGTAAAATACTCAAAAAGTTACTAAGGAAAGAATTCTGGAGTATTTCAAGAAAAATTTCACTTCCAACTGTCTGCCAGGAAAAAGACTAACTATAAACATTGAAACACAGATATCCTAAATAAAACGATTCTATTGGAAAGAAATTTTATTTGATAACAATGTCATTTTGGCTTTGGTAATTCAATATTAGTTATTCCAAATTTAGACAAACTTGAGGAAAATGATAAAGGACTTAAGTATGAAATAATTGATTCTTCTCTTACAGAAGAAGATACTGTGGATTACATACCCATTTGAAAAGATGTAATACATGGAAAAACATGAGATGCAATTTGAAGTACTGAGTGCTACCTAGGTATTTTTGCCCTTGTCAAAAATGGATGCTGAATCTAATCAAGTCTCTAGACCTAACTACCACCTATAGGAAATGTGGGGGATACTTGAACATGTTAATGATAAATCTGACAAAACAAATGACTCAGTTTCTTTAACAAATGATATTTTTAAAAAAAGTGTAAGAGGGAACTGTTACAACTTAAAAGACATACCATCCAACTGAAACCAACTGTGAAAAAGAAAAAAAAACAGGGAAGAGTGAATACCAATTAGATATTAGGAATTACTGTTAATTTTGTTAGGTGTGATAATAGTACTGTGGTCATGTCTAAAAGGTCATCATCTATTAAAGATATGCCGAGATTTATGAATGAAATCACAGGATACCTGGAATGTGCTTTCAAATATTTCCTTTAAAGGTGGACAGGGTGGATGAAAAAATTGGCAAAGTGTTGATAATTGCTGAAGCTGGGAGAAGGATGCATGAAGTTTCATTTATATTACTCTGCCTCTTTCTTTTTGGCCGCACTGCATGACACGCAGGATCTTAGTTTCCCCAACAGGGATTGAATCCATATCCTTGGCAGTGAAAGCATGGGGCCCTAACCACTGGACATCCAGGGAATTCCCTATACTACTTTCTTTTTTTTTTTTCACAATCTCTACTTTTATTGCCTAATTAGATTTTATTTCCATCTGGACAGCTTACTTTTTATTGGTGCGTGACGATATGATTTGTTTTTTGTTTTTCCTTCTCAACCCTGGATGAAAAGAAAACTCAGTTCTGGGAGGGATTGTCAGATAAGGGTACAGAATATGGTGAAATGGTGCTCGGTATCCTCAAAAAAATTAGCAAAATCAATCCTAGAAGATCCCTTATTTGCCCTCTTGCTAGTTAATAAATAGACTGCTGGGGAAAGGGAGGAATAGATTCAAGGGCAAAGAAGGGTCCAGATGGGATGAGGAAAGCAGGGGCAGGCGTGTCTACCCCACTCTCTCCTGCTCTCACTTACACCTATCCTCTAAATAAAGTAATAGTAGACTTTACTGCTAAGTCACTTCAGTCATGTCCGACTCTGTGCGACCCCATCCCTGGGATTCTCCAGGCAAGAACACTGGAGTGGGTTGCCATTTCCTTCTCCACTACTTTCTTGACATTTATTTATGTGTGAAAAGTTTTTGCAATTAAAAAAAAAGCTCTTAAAAATGGGTTAGAGGGACTTCTTTGGTGTTTCAGTGGCTAAGACTCCAAGCTCCCAATGAAGGGGTCCCGAGTTCAATCTCTGGTGGGGAAACTAGACCCCACATGCTGCAACTGAGTTTGCATGCAGCAACTAAAGATACTGTGTGCCACAACTAAGACCCAGTGTGCCAAACAAATAAAAACTAATCTTAAATAATAGGTTATACTTGGAAGGTTACATATAAAAAAAATTGAAACCAGTTCTTACTACTTTGCCACTTTGCACATGGTACTTTAATAAAATTATTTTTAATAATTAATCATATTTATTAACCCCAGTAGATGTGTAAAACTACCCAGGCATTTCTTGATTTAAAAATGTAGTCTGTGAGTATAATTTGCACTTCCCAACACTTTCAATAATTTGAATCCCCAGGGTTTTGTATTAAGAGTTGGGAGACTGATTTTCCAGAGATGGAAGAGCTAAAAATACAGTTGGCAGCTTCTGAAAGTAAACTTGCTTCACCCTGTTGCCTACTACACAGAACAACAGATCTGACTTCAGGAAGTATTTTTGGACATCAAGATGATTTTCTCTGGACACCTGCCACACGAAAAAACCCTATCCCAAATAGCTTTGGACATGCCACCATCCACATACCATAAGGGTATTTAATTACTGGAATTCAGTTAATTGGTTATGTTTGAGCTTGAATGCTGACTAAACACAAGTGTTACCTAAATGCTGAAAGAATTAGATCCTAGAGTCCTGAAAACCAAAGATGAAATTCGTTAGAAGTTCAACAACAAAATATAATAGACAAAACATACATATTATTATCTAAATTACCAAGAAGGATGTTTACTCATTTAGGCCTACTACTTTACTGATTTAAGGAAGTTAGAACAAAATAAATCTATATACATGATATAAGAATTAATGAATGGCAAGGACTGCTGCTTATAGTCCTAAATTATATCATACTGAGAAAATATACATACCTCTAACTGGGAAGCTTAACTGCTGCAAAGTTGATGCACTTATACAGTAACCAATTTGGGGCTCATAGGTGATGGTATCCAGACATTCATTCCAGTCTTGTACATTGGTAACAGGACAATCCTGTAGATGGGTGACAAGGTCTCCCACAAAAAGGCCTCTGGGTCCAACTGCAGGTGAGTCCTTGGTAAGAGGGCAGAACCAAGTCAGAAAATGTGTGAAGACAAGCTATGATTAATCTGAGCAAATAATAAAGACACTGAATTAAGTAGAAAGTTTCGAATAATGCAAAAATAATCCAGCTTTGAATTCATGATGTATAGTCCTAGAAAAATAACAAAATAAAACCCAACAATTATACTTTTCATATTTCACTAAGATTTTTAATTTTTTGCAACTGAAAAAACAAACAAATCTCACTCACCAACAGTTAAGATTAAAATGACAGTTTTTCCCAAGCTGCTAATTAAAATTTTTTGTGAAAGTGGTTACCAGAATGCCTTCATTTTCCTATATCACCAAGGGAGAAAATGACAAGACAAGTCCTTATCTAAACACAGTCCCAAATATGCAGACAATATTGTCAGCACAGTGAGTATATCAGGATGTGAGTCAGTTGCTCACAAAGGTAATTTTTCTCTTCCCAAAATATGAAGAGAAGACTTGATACCATCACAGTAGTCTAAGGGAGTGAAAGACAGAGTTGAAGACATTAATAACTTAAAACTCCCATGAAATGTTCTGACTGGCTAGCTTAGGTTTCATCTTTCTTACTTCTTGGGAGTAAAGACACTTGACTCAAAAGCACAATTATAAAACAAACAGTAAAGGTAAATGATGCATTTTATCAACAAATTACAGGTAGAAAATCTTGATATCATTCTTGTAACTCAGAACAGAAACAATTTTCAGTATTTTAAAAGAGCCAGTGTGTTTCACAAAACTATTTCTTCCATTTGAAAGGATTACAGTAATTTCTTTAGGAAAAACTAAACATTCTGTACATGAGAGGAGTTTGAATAAAAGCTCCTGACATAAAATGCTACTTCACAAAATCTGATGGAATACCCTAGACAATCTTATCATTTACCTCAGCAACTTCAGTGATAAGCACCCCAACTCCAGTGTAGTAAAACGGCAAGAGAATTACAGGAAGGAGAATAAGAGCTAAAATACCCAGGAGTGCAAGGATGAAATTATGCCAGATACCTGAAAAGAGGGAACAAAAAGAGTAAGTTCAACCAGGGGCAGGGTAGTTGCATTTCATCACACCTAGGCATTCTGATATATTAGGAAAGTCACCAGAAGAAGCTGTGAGGCAGATAGGTCAATTTATTAGTACAGAAGATATGTTAAGTTATAGGCTTCTTTCATTTCAAATAATGAAATCTAAAATGACTATGTTAATACAACACTAGGAAGACCACATGCTAATATGATTTAACACTATTAGAGTCTACATTCTCTCTCAATATATATACATTTATTATATACATAAAGGGGTGTGTATGTGTATATAGCAAATAGGGTATCTTCTACTTACCATAGCTTTATTTTTCAGAAAATGTTATGTATTCATTTAAACATACTTGTGATCTTTGAAAGGAACTTCAGAGCTATCAAATAAAAGTTATGATTCTTGCTGAACTGGGGTATGTATCTTACATCAAGACTATAAACTATCTCCTCCATCTCTATAGAGACAGTTAGGTGAATTGAGTGTTGTGCTGGAGCCTGCTCCTACAAGCTTGCCACAGCTGACTGGGCCTCTTTAACCAATTCCTACTCCAGGGACCTCAAGATGGTGCCTTCAAATTGGCCATACTGAGAGTATTTATACCACAGACACGAGCAAATGCTAGTTTATCAGAGCTCTCCACCCTTTCCTCCAGGGTTATATGCTAAACTTTCACTAGCATACCACCAGATAACAGCCCCTCCCATACAAATCCTTCCTCTCTAGTACAGTTTTTCTTATGGGGCAGGGTGGAGGAAATACCAGCTCTCTGGGCAGTGTGTTTCTTAGGTGTGCAGGTCTTGCCCCTTACAACACAGGATATATATCATATATATGTCACCGAAACAACCAACCAATGTCCCCCACCCCACACATTCCAAACATCCCTAGGAGGTTGACAGCACCAGTGTCCTGTAATGATAGAAATGTAACTTAAAGACATCGCCCAGATCTAAGGGCAGACTGTGGCCATATGACTGTACTTCAGCAAAAGGATGTGAGCAGAGGTGACGGGGACTGTCTTACTGGCTGGAATGTAGCTATAATGGAGCTAAACTTGAGTCTATGACATAGAAGCTGCATGCTGGAAATCGTAAAGCTAAGACAGAAAGCACTTCAGTCCTCCAGATCATAGAATTACCATTATAAGCACTGAACTACTTACATTTCTAATGTTTTATGAGTGCTTAAGTCACTGTTATTTTTAGGTATTACAGCAGCCAGATTTCTAGCTAATAATATATATTTCATGTACCATGACATTGCAAGAAGTTCCTCTAGTCCAAGACATAATTGGGTAAACAATCCTGTTTTATACACAGAAAGATCTTTTAAAAACACCAATGGTATCAAGCTATTTATCTGAAACTGTATTTTGCTTTTTCATTTATATACTTTTGACTTATCCCTTATCTGCACATTCATATCTAACCTATTCCTTGTATCCACTACAGTGTAATCTATTTTTTAAAAAACATATTGACTTATTAATAAGGTTCCCTACTAATGATCACTTAGGCTGTTTTAACTTTTTCATAGTGTTGCAACAGCTTTGCTCATGATGTTATGCATCTGATTAAGATCACATCTCTGAGGGTATGGACAATTATACAAAAATGGAATTGTTGGGTCAAAAATATATACATTAAAGTTAACCTCCAAGTCTGCATTATATTCTTATAATTGTCATGTATCCCCACCCTCTAAACAACACTGGATGCTATCATAATTTTATTTTATTTTATTTTTTGCTGAAGTGATTTTAACCTATAGATGAACGACTCTTTATTTTTTTAAAATATGGAACGCTTCACGAATTTGCATATCATCCTTGCACAGGGGATGAATGACTCTTTAAATGATACTCAGAATACATTACAAACTTGGTTTTAAATTAGATTTGAGTCTAGAACAGGACTCACTCACAATGATTCCAGAATACAATGTGTAAGTACAACAGTTAGGTGATCATTTCTTAATTGTTCAAGGGGATAAAGATCTTCAAATATGGATGGAAATTAATCTCTAAGAGTTATTCTCCTTTATAGACTACAATATTATTGTCGGTTTCATATACTTTTACTTTATAAAGAACTCCCACAGGAAGAAATTTCTGGAGGTTTTCCCAGATATATACGGCTACATTTTCTGTTGTGCTTACAATGTCTGCAAAATACGGCACATCTAGATCCAGATTCTTATGATCAAGGGGCTTCATAATCGCCTCCTCCATATACTCCTTGAGGTCAGTCAAATTCATAACCATTTCTGTAACAGGATCAATCTCTCCATGTACTGTCACCACAACTTTATAATTGTGCCCATGGCCATTTGGGTTGTTGCACTTCCCAAATAATTTCAAGTTTTCTTCATTACTAAGAGATTAGATGCGGAGGCGGTGGGTCGCGCTTAAGGAGAGGAGGCGGGACACTCGCGCCCGCCGGCGAGCGCCGGACCCTGCCGGGTTCATGGCTCCACAAGCCGACAGCCCGGCCGGCGTTCTCACTCCTCCGCCTGCCGCCAGCCTGGGTGCTATCATAATTTTAGACTGCCATCTGCCAGGTGAAAAGTAAAATCTTTGTCTTGATTTCTATTTCTTTAAATATGAATGAGTTTGTACATTTCTCGTGGTTATTAAATGGTTATATTTTTGTCTGAGAATTGCTTACTTTTATCCATTGTCAGTTTGCATTTTTTGAATTTTTTAAAAACTAATTTATATGTATTATTATTTGTAATACATACATTGAGGAATTTGGTCTTCTATATGAGGTATTTTGATCATTTCCTCCAGTTTGTTTAGCTATATAGTTTTGCTTATGCATATATTTTAAATTTTGGTGTGGTCAAATGGCTCCTTTGTATTAAGTTTTTCCCAGTTCAAGATTGTAGAATATCTGTGATCTCTTGTACTGCTTTCATAACATCATTTAAAAAACAAAATTAAGACCAAAAAAAAAAAAAAAACCCTCTGACTCTTCGACCCACTGGAATTTACTCTAGTGAAACTAATTTAGGAATAACAGCTATTCCACCCCTCCCACCACCCCACACCCTGTTGCTAGTCCCACAACAATTTCACAAAATCCATCCCCACTGATTAGATTGGCCACCACTACCATGTGCTATATTCAGCTTTCTCCTCAACTACTCACAATGTTACAGTTCAACAGAACTGCCTAAATGTTGTACCCTACCTCTTCTTTATCAGGATGACCCCACCATACAACCCTGGCTCTTCTCATCCAAGCAACACTCAGATGGGCACACAGCAGCACTGATTCTTTGACCCTCTGGGGAGCCTCCTATCTCTTATCAGGGATGCAGTGGGTACCAGACCACCCTGCTAGATTTCAGACTGGCCAGTGATGGCTAAGTTGCAATGTGGGTACCTTTATTTCCTTTATTTAAACAACCTCTTGTTCATTAATGATTTGCTTTTCAGTGCACCAAATGAATTTTTGTCACCGTTTCTACTTTCTCTGGAGCAAGGTTTCTCAACAGTGGCACTACTGGCACTTTGGGCCAGATAATTCTCTGTTGTGGGGGAATGACCTGTGCATTGTAAAATGTTTAGCAGCAACCCTGGCCTCTACCCACCCACCAGATGCCACTAGCGCCTTCCCCATTTTCTCTATTTTCTAGCTACAATATTTATAAAGACAAGTTTTTTTCTTTAGAACAGGTGTTTTATTTTTTGAGTTGTCTATTATAAAGGATTTACGTACCAAATGTTAAAAGGCAATACATACACAATATATTCCACAGCTGAGCACCACTCCCTAACTGAACAGGCAAAGAAAGGACTAAACAACAGCATCTTGCAGTATTTGGGGTTGGAGGAGAAGCAAAAAGACTAAACAGGTTTAAATCAACTACTACAACTTATCTACTATTCAAAACTACTAATTCAACGCAGTTAAAACACTGTTATGTAAAATGTACTAACGTCAAAGAATACAAACAAAATTAAGATAGCGAACAAAACCTATATAAGTTTTTTAAACAGTAAAACGTTATATATACATGTTCACTCTTTTAAAGAAAACCTGCAAGCAGTTATCTACTTTCAGAAAAACCATACACAGAACTACTAAGCATATTTTTTTAGAACTACTAAACATAGTCTTCAAAGTATAAACATGAACATTTAGAAAATACAGAACTTCAAAAATTGAAACAATAGGCAAAACTTCACTTTTAAAGGAATGTGAAAAGTCCCATTTTTATCACAGTTGGATAACGAACAGTCTTTTTTTTTTAAAGATCAGTCTTTTGATGTGAGATTCATGAGCAAGCATTACAAAATCGTATTTTTCAAATGGTATTCCAGAACAAGACGAAACTACAGAACAAGACAAAACTTATTAACAATGTTATATGAAGAACTACTTTTTTTTCTTTGTCTTTTTTTGCTTTTGTATTTTTTTTGGTCTTTTTTTTTAACCTTTTAATTTTCTTTTTACTAAGTCTATCAAAACTTAACCCTTAAGATATACTGGAGTCAGTTACAAAATTCTTTTCTAGAAAGTTTCTTATACGAAAGAGAGGCACATTCATTTTCAATTACACAACTGGAAGATGCTTTCTGAGCCTGAGAAGAGTCTTCCCTTCTTTTTACTGGCTATTCTTATTCTTAACATGTGTTAAGATATGAGATTTCAGGTTAGTTGACTGAGAAAACCTTTTATTACAACAATCGAAAGGGCACACGTAGGGCTTATCTCCGGTATGGATTCGCACGTGTGTGCGCAGGTTGAAATCTAGGGAAAAGCGTCTTCCGCAGCCTTCAAAGGTGCACTGAAACGGCTTCTCTCCGGTATGCACCAGTTGATGGCGCTTCAATTTGGAGCCCTCAACAAAAGCTTTGCCACATTCCGCACAGACGTGAACTCTGGGACCATGGGTGTGCATATGTTTTCTCAAAGCGGCGTTATCTCTGAACATCTTACAGCAGCCTGTGTTAGGGCAAGCTACTGTTCTCGGCACATCATCTTTCGGTTTTTTAGGTCTCATTTTAGTAAATTCGGCCAGTTGTTTGGGGTCTGAGAGATCAATGCCAGGAATTCCCCCAGGGGGCAGCTTCTTACCCGTCAAGTACTCTGAATAATCAGGAACTGAGTTCTCAGTCTGTCCAGTCTCAGGGTCCTTCTTATTGTTTGCGGACCACATGGTGACAGAAAATGGACCCTCTAGGGTTTGGACCTGCTTCTGCTTCTGCTCCCAATTCTTTTGGCCTGCCTCAGAGCTGCTTCCCGCCATCGCCTCACCACCCGGGTAACCGTTCTTACCGTCGGGTTTCTTGCCATGGCCGCTGGGCTGACGGGTGCGGTTGCGTGCTGAGGAAGATGTGGAGCCTGACAGAGAAGCCAAGGTCTCCTGGAAGTAGTCGACGTCGAGGCCTGGGATGACAATCTGGTCGCTGGCCTGAAGGCTTTCGGGCTCGGAGCTGGTCACCACCTCCTCCTGTGTCTGCACCATGATCATTTCTTGGTCGTAGTTCCCTTGGGTTGTGCTGCTTGTAAAAAGAGGCTGCAGCGCAATCAGAGGTGGATAGTGGTGGCCACCGTGGAACCAATTGCCGGTGACATCCTCGTATTCCTTGGTCGCCTCCATCCCCATGGTCTCCACAGAGACTGTCTCCTCAGTGGGTGTCTCCTCATGGGGGATCTCCTCAGTGACGGGCTCCACCTGCACTTGCTGGAGCCCCGCAATCTCTGGATACAACTCCAGGTCGTCTGTGGTGTCGAATGACTCGTGGCAGTCCATGGCTGAGGGCTCTTCAGAGGCTACTAATCAGCGGATAGGTGACCAAAAGGCCGCGGAAAAAAAAAAAGCCGAAAGGAGAAAACTGCGAGCTTTACGCGAAGGTGTTGGCCGTTGTGGAGCACGATGCGGAAGGGTCGCAAGTGCTCCTGGGTGGGCAGCACGCATGCGCTTTTATACACCTCGCACATGCGCTTCTAAGCTGAGGCGCCGCACAGTCGTACGTGCCCATAGTCTAGTACGTGCCCACAGTTGTACGCTCGCACATGCGCCATTCCTCCCGCCCCGACACCCGTGCTGCTTAGCGTGCTAAGCTAGTGTTTCTTTTGAATATAGCAACCAGGCTCTGCATAATTTTTTCTGTTTAATTTTCACTGATTTTAATTGTCACTCCCCTTCTACCCCACCACCAACTGTATGAGTATGGCATGGCGGGGGTGGGGGGGAGGAGGACAAGACCTATCCTTTTCTAATATTTATGCTTTTTTTATTTAATTGCACTGACCCACATTTATAGGCCATTTAACAGTATCAGTGATAGTGGGAATGCCTGTCTTTTCCTTTAATACAAGGTGCTGGGCCATAGACTAGCACTGGTTCATCACTTGCATTACCATTTGAACCATATCCACCGCTCAACCCCTGGTTTTTGTCTTCCACAAAACTGGTCCCTGGTTCCCAAAAGGTTAGGGACTAGTGCTTTAACAGAAATGCTTCTAAGTTTTATACCATTAGTAAATATCCAACTATTTCCACTGTTACTAAACATTTTTGTTTTTTAAGCATTAATGTATATAGAATTTTATTAAATACCCATTTCAATATCTGCTAAGGTGATATTTTTCCCTTAAGGGTAATCAGTGTTTACCACGTTCACATATAACATTTCCTAATGTTAAGCCATCTTTGTGTTGTTTAGATACACCAATTGTCTATAGAATTTTTCTGTGTGCTTTACAGGATACAGCAGTGTTAGTACACTGACTTTAAAAAAATTCTTGGTTTTCTTCTATAGGTAATCTGGAAAGTTTATGCTAAATTGGAATTAAAAAGAAAAATCTTCTCTTCAAGATTTGAAATAATTCTACATATTGAACTTTCAGGACCATTCTTCAACTTCCTTAATTTCTTCTGTGGTAAGTATCCTACTTATAATTTTTTTTCTATCTCTGCTGGGGTTAATTTAGGCTATTTAAAAAATAATTATACAGGTTTGTGAAAAATTTTTGCAGAGATGAACAAAGAACACTTCTATAATTGTTTAAAATTTCTCTGTATCAGTTGTCATTCCCCAATCTGACTGCTAATTCTGTCTATAAATGTTTTCTCCACTGCTTAATCTTTTTTTGTTCTTCCAAGAACTCTTGAATTTAAAAGTTTTTTTCTAATTTATTACACTTTTTGTGTATTTTCACACTGATTATGGGGCTTCCCTAGTGGCTCAGATGGTAAAGAATCTGCCTGCAATGTAGGAGACCTGGGTTTGATCCCTGGGTTGGGAAGATCCCCAGGAGAAGGGAATGGCTACCCACGGCAGTATTCTTAGCAGACAAAGGTCCATCTGGTCAAAGCTATGGTTTTTCCAGTAGTCATGTATGGATGTGAGAGTTGGACGATAAAGAAAGCTGAGCACAGAAGAATGGATGCTTTTGAACTGTTGTGTGGGAGAAGACTCTTGAGAGTCCCTTGAACTGTACAGAGATCCAACCATTCAATCCTTAAGAAAACCAGTCCTGAATATTCATTGGAAGGACTGATGCTGAAGCTCCAATACTTTGGCCACCTGAAGCGAAGAACTGACTCACTGGAAAAGAAAAGCTATGACCAACTTAGACAGCATATTAAAAAACAGAGACATAAGTTTGCCGACAAAGGTCCGTCTGGTCAAAGCTATGGTTTTTCCAGTAGTCATGTATGGATGTGAGAGTTGGACTATAAAGAAAGCTGAGCGCTGAAGAATTAATGCTTTTGAACTGTGGTGTTGGAGAAGACTCTTGAGAATCCCTTGGTCCAATCACTTCATGGCAAATAGATGGGGAAACAATTCAAACAGTGACAGACTTTATTTTCCTGGGCTCCAAAATCACTGCAGATGGTGATTGCAGCCATGAAATTAAAAGATGCTTGCATATAGGGTTATCTTTACCATCTTTCTAAATTCCATATATATGTGTTAGTATACTGTAATGGTCTTTATCTTTCTGGCTTACTTCACTCTGTATAATGGGCTCCAGTTTCATCCATCTCATTAGAACTGATTCAAATGAATTCTTTTTAATAGCTGAGTAATATTCCATGGTGTATATGTACCACAGCTTCCTTATCCATTCGTCTGCTGATGGGCATCTAGGTTGCTTCCAAGTCCTGGCTATTATAAACAGTGCTGCGATGAACATTGGGGTGCACGTGTCTCTTTCAGATCTGGTTTCCTCGGTGTGTATGCCCAGAAGTGGGATTGTTGGGTCATATGGCAGTTCTATTTCCAGTTTTTTAAGAAATCTCCACACTGTTCTCCATAGCAGCTGTACTACTAATATTGTAAAGTAATTAGCCTCCAACTAATAAAAATAAATGAAAAAAAATTACAAATTAAAAAAAAAAAGATGCTTGCTCCTTGAATTGCAAGGAGATTAAACCAGCTCATCCTAAAGAAAATCAGTACTGAATATTCATTGGAAGGACTGATATCGAAACTGAAACTCCAATACTTTGGCAACCTCATGCGAAGAACTGACTTATTGGAAAAGACCTTGATACTGGGAAAGATTGAAGGCAGGAGGAGAAGGGGACGACAGAGGATGAGATGGTTGGATGGCATCACTGACTTGATGGACATGAGTTTAAGCAGGCTCCAGGAGTTGGTGATGGGCAGGAAAGCCTGGCGTGCTGCAGTCCTTGGGGTCACAAAGAATTGGACACAACTGAGCGACTGAACTGAACTGATGCAGTATTCTTAACTGGAGAATTCCATGGCAGAGGAGCCTGGCAGGCTACAGTCCATGGGGTCGCAAAGAGTTGGACACAACTGAGCGACCGTATCTATCTATACTAACAACATCAATTCTTAACTATTTCATAGTTCTTTTCTCATTTCTTTAGTTGACTGCTTAACTGATTTTCTTTCATTTCTTATTTCATAATTGCCTAAGGTAGTGACTTTTCATTTTAGCAAAACTTTACACATTACTTCATGAGCATTTTAAAAAATACTGCAATTATGATTTTGAATTTAACTGGCCAACTTTTATTAGTTTCCTGGGCACTTGAAAATAAACTGACATAACTATTGACTTTTATCTTAGTAATCAGAGCTTCAACGATAAGACTTTTTCATACATAACTGCCATTTGTTGATAGACAAACCTCCTTTATTACATTTGTGTTTTCCTGGTACTTTTTTCTATTTTTGTTTTGCTGATTTGTTACTTTATTCAGTAAGACTCATGATTACATTTTCATCATGGATTATACTCCTTATGATTATTTAGTGACTTCCCATGTCTACTTTGGATGAGATGGTTGGATGGCATCACAGACTCAATGGACATGGGTTTGGGTAGACTCCGGGAGTTGGTGATGGACAGGGAGGCCTAGTGTGCTGAGGTTCATGGGGTCACAAAGAGTCAGGCACGACTGAGCGACTGAACTGAACTGAACATGTCTGATTCAGTGCTTTAGCCATATTTTCATGGTATGTTCTGCTTATTTACTTTCAATCTTTTAAAAATAATTCATGTTAAAAAATGGGGGAAAAAAACTGGAATGTAAATTATTTTGTTCTACTACTTTGAACTAAAAGTCTTATAATCTGAGTTTATCAACCATAAAGTGAGATGTTTTCATTTGTGATGTGAGTACTTTCCATAAAACCACTAATAACACACAGATATATAAAGAAATTTAAATCTTTTACCTGCACAAAATATCCTTAGCTGCTGGACTGGTGATATAAGTTGCAAATGAGTGGTGAACAGATCAACAAATGCTCCAGGATAAATAATGAAGAGAAAAATCCCAAAGCCATTAAATCGAACTTGTTCCCTAAGAAATCACATAAGAAAAAGGAATTTACTACTAGTACCACATTTTTCAAATTAATAATGCATGTTATCATAAAACTCCCCAATGTAATTCAAATGCTTGTTTAAAATACAAGTATCTCTGGGCAGTCAAAGAATTATATATGATATACATGTATATCATAATTTTATAATAGCATACAGATTTAGTTATCAGTGAAATTATGTTTTGTAAAACAGGGCATTCTGAAATAGACTTATAACTTCAAAATTTTTAGAAACCAATATGCTGAGCAAATAACTTAAAATTAGTCACAAATACAAAGCAATAGTATTTCTATGAGAAACTGAAAAAAAAAACATTTTTATGGTTTAGTCTGAATTATTTTCAGGGAAGGAGATGGTAGAAAATAGAAGTCAAGTATTAATAAATAATTTAAATATTTATATTTGTCTTAGCTATTATAAAGATGGCATTTTATCTAAATGTATTCTTGCTGAATTAATGTTAAGTACATTTTAAAATACATAATGCTCAGATTGTCCTCAAGAGAACTATTTTTTTATCAAGTCATTCTCTAAAAATGGAATTACATTTAAAAGCCTCATAAGGCCACACAGCTACTCTGAAAAAAGCATCATCTAAATATTTTGTGCTGTCACCTAGCATTAAATATCTTAAGATGACTGTAAAATTCACTTTTTCTCAGCAACTTGGATTTTATAAAAAATTACCCGTACTATTTCACAAACATATTATGAATTATTAAACTGTTAATAACAATGCTTTTCTATGTAAAACCCTAAAATCACAGAGCTAAAGAAGAGGAAGCAAAGATGAAAGAGAGAAAAAAAAACTAGCCACCCATTTAAACCACTACATGGCACACCTGTGTAACAGTATATGCTCTGTCAAGATGAGGGTCAAGACTCTCTGTCAAGATGAGAGTCAACAGACTCTTTTCATAAGCAACTGGAAAGTAATAAGAAATGATTAAATCTTCTCCTTTAAAACTTTTTATGTGGTCCACACACCCAAAGGATGAAACACATTCCCATCAGTATGTGTGTTCATTATTGGGAATAAAGGGGAGTTGTGACTCACTCTCTCCCCTATCATGATTTCACACATTAAGGAGACTTTAAAATGCTCAGGTATAATTACAGTGATATACTTGGAGAGTCAAGACAGAAACAGGGCATGATACTTCAAGCAAGTTCCCGGCCTCATCCTCCCTTATCTTTTTCCACTCGGTTTTCTAGACAGGCTATGATATTTGTCAACAAACCCAGAGCTTTCAGTGTTCTTGCTGTTGGCAGCAGAGACCATGGGTAGAAGAAGGGAAGTATTTCAGATGATGAGCCAAAGTAAGTACTAAGAAGGCAGGTGGATGGGATTTGACTGCAGTGGTTATCATTCCAATCCAATGATGAATATAAAGATTAGGTTTCGGGATTGGATGAAAATAGTGATGCACCATGAGGATATAACCATGCTGGCAAAGGACAAAGGATAGAAAGACCCAGATTATAGATGTGCACAATTAACTAAGCATATTCATCAATATATTAATGTCTACAAAAGAGAAGGTAGCGTAAAGTAATAATGGTGGATATGCACTGGGCAGTAGTCACAGAAAGAAGAAGTATCAAATGTAGCAGATTTTAGTAATATGTGTGTGGTAAGTTGCTTCAGTCATGCCTGACTCTTTGTGACCCCATGGACTGTAGCACATCAGGCTCCTCTGTCCATGGAATTCTCCAGGCAAGAATACTGGAGTGGGTTGCCTTTTCCTACTCCAGAGGATCTTCCCAACCCAGGGATCAAACATGCATCTATTATTTCTCCTGCATTGGCAGGTGGGTTCTTTACCATTAGCACCACCTGGGAAGTCCCAGATTTTAGTAATAACTCCTTCTAAATGAAATGCTTTTTTTGCATCCCGTATATATATGGAGAAAGAGGGAAATATCATTACCTAATAGCTGCTATTCCATGTCCAATTTCATGTACAACACCGCTAATGAGGACTGCAGCGAAGAAATAGGTCAGTTGGTTGACAGGTAAATTAATGCCAGGAACCTGTTCATAGAAACAATGACAAATACACACTTGGGCACCAAGAGACCTGGATGTTCACTCTGTACCAAAATCTAAACTTTCAAATCCAATGTTCTGTAAGCTAAAAGTAATATAAACACTGATGGTTCACTTCTCCATTTCCATCACAATAAAAATAAAAACACCAGCTTTTTTTTTTTAACTAAGCACATCAATCTAAAGAGAATAGGAAACACCAGATTAAAAAATTGAAACATTATCTTCCCAAACTCTTTACCATGGGAAAGAATTAGGGAACCTGGCAAAGTGCCAGGAAAGTCAGAAGGACAGTGAAGGAGTCAGCAGCTGATTCATCCTTAAGGGCTGGAAGCCCAATGTGGGAATTCTTGTTACAATTCCCAGTCCTTCCGCCAAAGTGTTATTGCAAGGTTTCAAGTACTTATGTGAGTGATACAGGAAGTCCCCACCCACTCTTAAGTCAGTTTCATTTTACTACTATCAAGTTATACAATAGTTGATCATTAAAGGCAGCATAATAAAAGTGCCTTATTGGTGTGGGAGCACCATGCCCTTCATTTTTTCTATTTCATCAGTTTGTCTAGTACATTGGTGAGAAAAGCACTATCAAAATGACACATAAATATATTAAAATTGAGGTTTAATGCAAAAAAGAAAGGCATTTGGAACATCAGTCAGTTCAGTTCAGTTCAGTCGCTCAGTCGTGTCTGAGTCTTTGCGACCCCATGGACTGTGGCACGCCAGGCTTCCCTGTCTGTCATCAACTCCCAGAGTTTACCCAAACTCATGTCCATTGAGTCGGTGATGCCATCCAACCATCTCATCCTCTGTTGTCCCCTTCTTCTCCCACCTTCAATCTTTCCCAGCATCAGGGTCTTTTCCAGTGAGTCAGTTCTTCACATCAGGTGGCCAAAGTATTGGAGTTTCAGCTTCAGCATCAGTCCTTCCAATGAATATTCAGGACTGATTTCCTTTAGGATGGACTGGTTTGATCTCCCTGCTGTCCAAGGGACTCTCAAGAGTCTTCTCCAACACCACAGTTCAAAAGCATCAATTCTTCAGTGCTCAGCTTTCTTTATAGCCCAACTCTCACATCCATACATGACCACTGGAAAAATGATAGCTTTGACTAGACGGACCTTTGCTGGCAACGTAATGTCTCTGCTTTTTAATATGCTGTCTAGGTTGGTCAAAACTTTCCTTCCAAGGAGCAAGCGTCTTTTACTTTCATGGCTGCAGTCACCATCTCCAGTGATTTTGGAGCTCAAAGAAAGAAAGTTTCTCACTGTTTCCATTGTTTCCCCATCTACTTTCCATGAAGTGTTGGAACCAGATGCCATGATCTTAGTTTTCTGAATGTTGAGTTTTAAGCCAGTTTTTCACTCTCCTCTTTCACTTTCATCAAGAGGTTCTTTAGTTCCTCTTCACTTTCTGCCATAAGGGTGGTGTCATCTGCATATCTGAGGTAATTGATATTTCTCCCAGCAATCTTGATTCCAGCTTGTGCTTCATCCAACCCAGCATTTCTCACAATGTACTCTGCATATAAGTTAAATAAGCAGGGTGACAATGTACAGCCCTGATGTACTCCTTTCCCTATTTGGAACCAGTCTGTTGTTCCATGTCCAGTTCTAACTGTTGCTTCTTGACCTGCATACAGATTTCTCAGGAGGCAGGTCAGTTGGTCTTGTATTTCCATCTCTTTAAGAATTTTCCAGTTTGTTGTGATCCGTACAGTCAAAGGCTTTGGCGTACTCAAGGAAGCAGAAGTAGATGTTTATCTGGAACTCTCTTGCTTTTTTGATGATCCAATGGATGTTGGCAATTTGATCTCTGGTTCCTCTGCCTTTTCTAAATCCAGCTTGAATATATGGAAGTTCTCGGTTCACATACTATTGAAGCCAGGATTGGAGAATTTTGAGCATTCCTTTGCTAGTGTGTGAGATGAGTGCAATTGTGTGGTAGTTCGAGCATTCTTTGGCATTGCTTTTCTTTGGGATTGGAATGAAAACTGACCTTTTCCAGTCCTGTGGCCACTGCTGAGTTTTCCAAACTTGCTGGCATATTGAGTGCAGCACTTTCACAGCATCATCTTTTAGGGTGTGGAATAGCTCAGCTAGAATTCCATCACCTCCACTAGCTTTGTTCGTAGTGATGGTTCCTAAGGCCCACTTGACTCTGCATTCCAGGATGTCTGGCTCTGGGTGAGTGATCACACCATCATGATTATCTGGGTTGTGAAGATCTTTTTTGAATAGTTCTTCTGTATATTCTTGACAACTCTTCTTAATATATTCTGCTTCTGTTAAGTCCATACCATTTCTGTCCTTGATTGTGCCCATCTTTGCATGAAAAGTTCTCTTGGTATCTCTAAGTTTCTTGAAGAGATCACTAGTCTTTCCCATTCTATTATTTTCCTCTATTTCTTTGCACTGATCACTGAGGAAGGCTTTCTTATCTCTTTTCTATTCTTTGGAATTCTGCATTCCAATGGGTGTATCTTTCCTTTTTTTCTTTGTCTTTCACTTCTCTTCTTTTCTCAGCTATTTGTAAGGCCTCCTCAGACAACCATTTTGCCTTTCTTTTTCTTGGGGATGGTCTTGATCACTGCCAACTGCACAATGTCATGAACCTCTGTCCACAGTTCTTCAGGCACTCTGTCTATCAGATCTAATCCCTTGAATCTGTTTGTCACTTCTACTGTATAATAGTAAGGGATTTGATTTAGGTCATACCTGAATGGTCTAGTGGTTTTCCCTACTTTCTTCAGTTTAAGTCTGAATTTGGCAATAAGGAGTTCATGATCTGAGCCACAGTCAGCTCCTGGTCTTGTTTTTGCTGACTGTATAGAGCTTCTCCATCTTTGGATGCAAAGAATATAATCAATATGATTTTGGTATTGACCATCTGGTGATATCCATGTGTAGAGTCTTCTCTTGTGTTGTTGGAAGAGAGTGTTTGCTATGACCAGTGCGTTCTCTTGGCAAAACTCTATTAGCCTTTGCCCTGCTTCATTGTGTACTCCAAGGCCAACATCAGTGTACCTTTTTCTACATATCTGCTCCTTTCCCCTGTTGCCAGGTATCTGTCTATTCAGACTTATAGTTTCCTTATCTCTGATACCTCTTTAAATTGATGTACTTAAGATTCTCATACATTTCCTCTATATCATATTCAGGTTATCTTACCTTTATTTCAAATAAATCAGTAGGCTTGATCCAATAGGATATTGATTCCTTTTCCTTTTATGTTAATGGATTTAATAATGAAATAAGGTAAGGATTTGAGTATGTGACTATATCAACAGATGGTAGGTCTTATTTACTGGCAATGGTACTTGACTGCCCATCTGTCTCAGCCATGATCACACAGGGCATCAGATGTACCAGAATACTGATCTCCCAATAACACAGAGTGCCAGGTTTTGGGGAATTAATACTGAATGAGGCCATAGATAATTACAGAATAAACAGAAAGTTAGTCCTTTAAGCTACAAGCACTCATATCAAAGTCAGGAGATATAACAAACCTAAACAAAAACATGCCACATAGATACACAGAGGGCAGTGGACTTCTTAATGGCTCCAAAGCATGGTTCTCCTAACAGAGTCAATATTTTGTGAGCTCTATGAATAAGTGGAAAAGAAAACAAAAGAAATAATTTCTTCTCTAAATAACAATTTGCCATTCAGGCAATGACTTTTTTGGACATGACAGCAAAAGCACAAACAATAAAAGTATAAATCAACAAACGAGATTATGTTAAACTCAAAAGCTCCTGCACAGTAAAAGAAACAATCAATGGCAGCCTACAGAATGTGAGAAAATTTCTGCAAACCATGTACTGGATAAGGGGTTAATATCCAAAATATACAAACAACTAACAAAACTTAATAACAAACAACCCTTTCCCCAACAATCTGATTAAAAAATGAGCAGAAGTACTAGTTCCAAAGAAGATATCAAAATGGCCAAAAGGCCAATGAGAAAATGTTCAACATTACTAATCATCAGGGACATGCCAATCAAAACCACAGTGAGATAACACCTCACACCTGTTAGAATGGCTATCATCAAGCAGAGAAGAGGGATTTCCCTGGTGCTCCCAGTGCAGGGGTTCTGGGTTTGATGCCTGATCAGGGAACTAGATCCCGCAAGCAGAAACTAAGATCCTGCATGCCCCAAGTAAGAACTAGCACAGCCAAATAAATTAAAAAAAAAAAAAAGAAAGAAGAGACAACACATGTGTTGGCAAGAATGTGGTGAAAAAGGAACCCTAATGCACTGTTGGTGGAAATATAAATTAGTCCAACCACTATGGAAAACAATATGGAGGTTCCTCAAAAAATTAAAATAGATCTAACATATGATCAATCAATTCTACTTCTGGGTATACACCCAAAGGAAATGAAAATATTTTGACGAGGTATATGCATATCTATGTTTATCACTTTGCTTATCACTTTGGCCACCTGATGTGAAGAACTGACTCATTTGAAAAGACCCTGATGCTGCGAAAGATTGAAGGCGGGAGGAGAAGGGGATGACAGAGGAAGAGATGGTTGGATGGCATCACAGACTCAATGGATATGAGTTTGAGTAAACTCTGGGAGTTGGTGATAGGCAGGGAAGCCTGGCATGCTGCAGTCCACGGGGCCGCAAAGAATCAGACACAACCAAGCGACTGAACTGAATTGATGTTTATCATAATAGCAAAGATTATGGAAATGACCCAAATGACCACCAATAGATGCATGGATGAAAACAATGTAGTAATATACATACACAATAGAATATTATTCATGTATGAGAAAGGAAGCCATCCTGCCATTTGCAACAACATGGACAGACCTTGACTACATGATGCTAAGTGAGATAAGTCAGAGAAAAACAAGTACTAAATGGTATCACTTACATATGGAATCTAAAAAAGTCCAGTCTGTTAAAGGAGAGTGTAAAATGGTGATTACCAGAAGATAGGGGGTGCTAATAAGAATGAGCGTTTAAGGGTACAAAGTTGTAACGAGTAGCAAATAAGCCATAGAGATCTAATGCACAGTATAAAGACTAAAATCAATAATACTATACTATAATAATATAATCTGATAGATATTGCTCCAATGGCAATATTACAATAAATAAATGTATGGAAGTAACATGCTGTACACCTTAAATTTACAAATTGTAATATGTCAAATTTATCAAATAAAAATTAATTTAAAAAGCTTGTTAGCTTCTTTGTGCCTGTGGATGATGCCACGTAAGCATCACTGAAGTCTCTTCCACTACAGTCAAGTCTAAGTTGGAGTCTACCAAAGAGCCCAGAGAGCCTGTGGAAGCTCTTCATCAGAGGTCTGAATTTTGAAACAACCAATGTGAGTCTGAGGAGCCATTCTTGAGCTTTGGAGTACACTCAGACTGTGTGGTAAGGAGGGATCCAAACACGAAGCACTCCAGAAGCTTTGGGTTTGTCACATACACCACAGTGGAGGGGGTGGATTCGATTATGAATGCAAGACCACACAAGGTGGATGGAAGAGTTGTGGAACCAAAGAGGGCTGTCTCAAGAGAAGATACTCAAAGACCTGGCACCCACTTAACTGTGAAAAAGATTTTTGTTGGTGGCATTAAAGAAGATAATGAAAACAGCGCCTAACATGTTATTTTGAACAGTATGGGGGAAAAAATGACTGAGGCAACAGCAAAAAGAATGCCTTCTGTAACCTTTGATGACCATGACTCCATAGACAAGATTGTCATTCAGAAATACCACACTGTGAATGTCTACAACTCTAAAATAAGGAAAACCATATCTAAGCAAGAGATGGTTAGTGCTTCATCCAGCCAAAGAGGTGGAAGTGGTTCTGGAAACTTTGGTGGTAGTCACGGAAGTGGTTTTGGTGAGAATGTCAACTTTGGTCGTGGAGGAAATGTCAGTGGTTCAGGTGGCTTCAGTGGCAGCCGTGGTGGTGGTGGATATGGTGGCTGTGAGAATGGCTATAATGGATTTGGTAATGACGGAAGCAATTTGGAGGTGGCAGAAGCTACAATGATTCTGGCAATTACAGCAATCAATCTTCCAAGTTTGGACCCATGAAGGAGGAAACTTTGGAGGCAGAAGTTCTGGCCCCTATGGTGGTAGAGGCCAATAATTTGCCAAACCATGAAACCAAGGTGGCTATGGTGGTTCTGGCAGCAGCAGTAGCTATGGGAGTGGGAGATTTTAATTACTGCCAGGAAACAAAGCTTAGCAGGAAACGAGAGTCAGAGAAGTGACCAGGAAGCTACAAGTTACAACAGATTTGTAAACTCAGTCAAGTACAGTGGTGGCAGGGCCCTGCTGATTCGGAGAAGACATGTTTTAGACAATGCTCATGTGTATGGGCAAAAAAAAAAAACCTCGAGGACTATATTTGTGACTAATTGCACAATAGGCTATTTCAGTTTCTATTCTGTGGGAAGTGTAAAGCATTTCAACAAAGGGTTTTAACGTAGTTTTTTTGTACCCATGCTGTTGATTGCCAAATGTAATAGTCTGATTATGATGATGAATAAATGTCTCTTGAAACAAACACCCCTCCCCAAAAAAACTCGTTAAACTAAAATAAAACTAAAAAGTCAAAGAAAAAAAAACCTATTCCTATTCTAATCCTAGCAGTCACAGGCCAGTGATCATATTTCCTCTAAGCTTGCTTCTTTCTCTACTATTCTCTTCCTTGGCAAACAATTACCAATCACGTAGCCTGAGAGTCATCCTCAACTCCTTCTTCTCCCTCCAGCTTCACATTCACTTAATCACTGAGGTCTGAGAACTCCACTCCAGAAGATCCCTTGAATCCAGCCCTTCATTCTTCTTATCATTAATTTAGTTTAGATCTTTATAACTTCTAACATGAATTATTCTGAATGCCCTCTCAAATGGTCTCCTCATCTTCAGTGAAACCCTACTCCAGTCCATTTTGCATAGACTTCTTATATACAGATAAAATCAAAACTTCTTAGAATGTCCCTTCATAAACCAGACCCTGCCTCTATATCCCATCTTAGCTCCTATAACTTATACCTTCCACCATGTATTTCTTAGATACAGGTCAAAGTTACTTTATAGTTCCTTGAGAGATTATTGGTCTTTCTTAAAGTCAGTGGTGGGTGAGTGATGGACCCATCATTTACTAGCTGTGACCACAGGCAAGTGACTCAACAGCTCTGTGCTTTGGTTTTCTCATCTGTGAATTAGGGATAACAACAATACTTATCCCTGGGTTGCTATAAGAATAAAATACTGAATTATGCTATACACCTGAAACTCACACAGTATTGTAAATCAACTATACTTCAATTTTAAAAAGTCACTAACAGTCTGTTTCATTAAAAATGTAACATCCATGATTCATGGAAATGAAAATTGTTAATGAAAAAAAATTTAGATAAAAGGTATTTGGTGGTAAAGTACCCTTTCAAACTCTGGAAACATGAATTGATAGGGTATAGGTCTACACATGTTCTTTAAAGTGGGAATTATAATAAGTAGCTTACAGTCAAAGAAGTACAACTCAGCATATTATTCTTCACATCAAGAAATCACAGTGATCATTGAAAAGGTCTTTTACCTTTAATTAAAAGGATATTGTTGCTTACAGTCTGAAAACCATGAAGAATAAAGGGGAACACTTTGCATAGGAGTAAGATGCAATTTATTTCTACATTAAAGAGACTTTAAATCAGTATGCTTACTCCTTGACAGTAACAATTATTCAACACTTCAAGAAGACAACATGAATTACTAACTAGGTATAAAATAAGCTACAAGGATACAATTTACAACACAGGGAATACAGTTGATATTTTATAACTATAAATGGATTACAACTTTTAAAAATTGTGAATCACTGTATTGTACACCTGTAACTTATATATTATTGTATGGCAATTATATTTCAATTAAAAAAAACAAATCTGCACTGGAAAAAAACATGAATTAAATCTAATACTTGTGCAATTGTTCACAGTCTTGGTGGTAGTTCATTTGTTCTATTATTACTATTCCTATTCTTCCTCCTACTACTACATATTGCAACAGTTTTTTGCTATATTCTTACTAATGATTTTGTTTAAGCAACTAATTTGAGAGATTGTAAGAGTTTTGATATATTTTCACATTTATATTATGAATAGGAATTATGCTATCCAGAAGAAATACATTATATCTATGTTTCAACAAAGCTACTTAGAGCAGTAATAAGGCACTTACCACAACTTGGAGCACCTGTTCATTGTGAAGTGAGGAAGAGGAGGAGGAAGAAGAGGAAGAAGAAGAGGAAGAGGAGGAAGAATGGGAAGAGGAGGAGGAGGAATAAGAAGAGTCAGCCATCATTTGGCCTAAAGTCTGTATCAGCGTTTTTCCCAGAAGAAAAAAAGAGCTGAACATGGCAATTACACCAAACACCATTCCAAAATTGAACCTGTCAAGAGGAAAAAAATTACGTAAATGTACAATCCCTCACAATCCATGGGCTAAAAAATATGTTAACCAGCCACATTTCATAGCTTCAAAATAATGTCTAAAAATGTCAACAACTCTTGCTTCTTTTTCCTACCTGAACTTCAGATACTTGACTGAAGCACAGGTACTTGGCTCTTTAAGCAGTTCTAATTTACAATTCTCTCATAACTGAAGGGGGCTTCCCTGGTGGCTCAGTGGTAAAAATTCCACCTGTCATACAGGAGACGTGGAGTCAATCCCTTCGTCAGGAAGATCCCATAGAGAAGGGAATGGCAACCCACTCCAGTGTTCTTGTCTGCAGAATCCCCACGGACAGGGGAGCCTGATGGCCTACAGTCCATGGGGTCACAAAGAGTTGGGGACACGACTGAGCAGGCACAGCATGGCACATAACTGAAGAGGCTGAATGTTGTTCCCAATAAAAAAGTTTGTTTCCATTCATATTTTTTTCTCATTTACATAGCATTGTTTTGATCTTATTCTCACATAGTTATGAAAGCTCCAAATTTGGCATTTAGAAATCCATTCTTTTTCACCTACCAATTCTACTGTTTGGATTTGATTTTAGTTGAATTTTGTCATGGACTTAAATAGTAATGTGGTAAAACTTAAGAACAGTTTCTTCTACTGTTAATAATTACAAGTCATTCTTCTATAGTTGGGGATAATCTATTACATTTTCTAACTTTTTGATTAGCTGTGTTTTTTCAAGGAACTTGTCCATTTCATTTAAATTGTCAAATGTATATGTATAGAACTGCTCACAATAGCTTTATCTTTCAAAATGAGTCTCACTCCATGCTGTCATTGCTAAGGGCCTGGGTTCAATCTCTGCTTGGGGAACTATTAATAAAATTCCACAAGTTGTGTAGAACAGTCAAAATAAATAAATGAGTCTCAGAATCTATAGTAATATTTCTTCCTCCAATTCTGATTTTTGGTTGTTTTCTTTTTTTTGTTGATCAGTTATGGTACGGGTTTATCGATTTTACTAATCTTTTCAAAGAATCAGCTTTTGGCTTTGTTGATTTTCTCTACTGTAAACTTCTATTTCACTGATTTCTGCTCTTTATTATTTCTATTTTGTCTGCTTTGATTTGCTGTTGCATTTTCTGGTTTTTGATGACCTCATTATTGATATTTAGCTCTACTCCAGCTGGAGCTAAATTTTTAACAAAAAGGAATTTAGACAAAGGCCCTCTACTCCCATTCTACTCCAAATTCTTCAGCTACAGAAACTGTCTCTACGGTGTCCCGGAGAGCATTATAAGTCTCCTAACCATAAACACTATAAACAATGATTTTTAAAATATTTTAAATTAAAGGGATAGACCTAGCATAGCCAGGGAGTCCAGGGCCCTGCTGCTGCAATCTGGCTGGCGTTGGCCTTATAGTAGGATAAATATTTTAAATATCCTTCCTCTGGATGGGTATCACAGAAGAAGCACAGAGGAAAGCCTGCAGACTTATGGGAGCCCTATTACTCCCACAACCCTTGTTTCTATGTGTGATGATGGAGGAGAGAATTCTCTTTTCCTGGTGGAAAATGCTCCATATACGTTTTGCCTTTCCATTGATGTCTAACTTCCATGGTAAAATGTGTAAGTCTGAAGCGTACAGCTCACTGAATTTTTACGTATGTACACCCATGTATCCACCATCCAGATCAAGACAGAGAATCTTGACTGTGAATGTATGCAAAGCATGATGATGCAATCCCATAAATTTATATAAAGCCAGAAAGTTTTTACATGGTCAATTTTAAAACTCAGTAAACTGAAAAGGATGGAAACAGTTCATTTAACATGTATTTATCAGGATCACAATTACTAATCTAAACCAAAAAAGAGAAAATGAAGAATACCACTGGTAAAGTATCCTTGCTTTCCGCCGTCCCCAACTATAAAAGGCACGATTGAAAACAGCAGTCTGCCATCTTATGTGAAAAGGGGAGATGCTCAATCCGTTGTTTTCCAGCCAGTCTTCATAAGAATGCTTAAAATATACAGATGACTGAGAGAGAAAGAAAAGTTCCACATCACTCAATTTGAAGAACAATTTATAATGTTTAAGAAAATTTAAAAAAAGAAGTGTCTTCTACAGGAAAGCAAGATAGTGACTAATCATGTTTATAACTTTTAAAGCTTTACATTTATCTATTTTTTCAGGATATTAAAGTATAAGTCTTGGACTAGCTGGTCTGCTGAGGTCAGGGTCTGGCAAACTATGGCCCATGGGCAAAAAATGTTTGCTTAGAACAGCATTGTCCAAAAGAAATATAATGTGAGCTACAAGTGCAAGTCACATGTGCAATTTAAAATTTTCCAGTAGCCAAGAAAATTTAAAAGGCAAATAGAAACAGATTATTTTAAAAGTGTTTTTAACTAAAAATAACCAAGATATTATCATTCAAAATATAATCAATATAATTATTGAAGTATTTCACATTCTATTTGTTTTCTTACTTACTTATGCACTCACTAAGCCCTTGAAATTCAGTGTCAACTTTATACTTAAGAGCACATCTCAGTTCCGACTAGCCCCGTTTCAAATGCGAGATGGCCACGTGTAGTTAATGGCTACCGCACAGGACAGCACAGGTCTAAAAGCCTTGTTACGTAGCAAGAGGTCTTGTGTTATAATTAAAAAAGACCCCCAGCCAATCCAAGAGAGGGGACAGGTTATTTGGAATCAGTGCTTTCTATACTTTTTTGAGCAACAACCCTAAGAACTTAGTCTGGATTTGACCATGTAAAAATACAAAATTTATCTAAAGTCATCTTAATCTCAGTAACTCCTTAACATTGTTTGGGGTTGGGGAGACAGCTGCTTATATGCAGCTCAATGAACAGTTTTATCATTAGGAAAGTTTAAAGTCATTGAGTGTCATTAGGAAAGTTTAAAGTCATTGAGTAATGTAGGATTTTGGACAATATAAGGCTGCTTTATATATACTGTCACTGACTTCTTATCTGTTACAGTAAGTATGATAAGTATTTTGTCTTATAGATGCCCATCCATTTGAGAAATTTCTGTCTCTAGGAGGATATTTCAGTCTTATCAGCCATAAAATATGATCTGAGTGTGAATATAGGTATCTGTTTGCCTTTGGATCCATAATGTTCTCTGCTCTCAATCTTCAGGTGAAGTTTTAAACCTGTATATTTTCTAGGACTTGGAAAAGGAGAGTGACATACGCCTCCAGGTGTCTACTGAGGAAATCCTAGACAAACTATGGGTAGAACAGCAGACCAAGCTGGGAGCAGAGAAGCTAAAGGGGCAGGCTCCTAAAACCCAAGATTTCTCCATTCCCCAGGCAGATACTTTGAATGAGAGTTAGGTCTTCTGCTCAAAGAACAATGCTCTCTTAGGGAGTTAAGGGCTGTTACTGAGAGAAGAACATTTGTACTTTTTTTAAAAAAGAAAATACACACACACACACACACACACATACATACATGTTCATGTATGATAGTATAATAGTGATGCCTTATGGAGAATTAAAGAAGTGGAAAGCAAAAAAAAAAATGGCTGTTACTGAACTTAAAGTGACATCCTGATCACCTCACACACTGGACTAGACTATAAAGGTTTGAAAAAATTATTTTATTTTGGATTTCTGTCACACATGCAACATGAAATCATGTGGGTTTGTTTTTTCCAAACAAAATCACTGTGTAAATAAGCACTGGCATGTATTACTGCTTATGACATGCTAAGCACTATGCCAAGTGTGTGCAGAGGAAGCACCTGGGGATCTTATGAGGATGCAGATTCTGATTCTGCAGGTCAGGAATGAGGCCTAAGAGTCTACATTTCTGACAAACTCCCAGATGATGCAAGTGCTGCCAGTCCTTGAACCTCAGCTTGAGTGGCAATGGGTTCTATGTGGATGAATAACATAATCCTCTCTACAATATCAGGAGATCTTTACAACTATTGCACCTATTTTAAAGATGAAGAAATGGAGGAACAGAGAGAATTTGCCCAAGGTCACACTGGTTAGGAAGGGGCAAAGCCCAGCCCATTCTCTAAGGATTCTACTGTATTCTTTTCACTTTGCAAGTTTTGTTTCTCTGGTGGCTCAAATGGTAAAGAGTCTACCTGCAATGCGGGAGACTCAGGTTTGACCCCTGGGTGGGGACAATCCCCTAGAGAAGGGAATGGCTACTCACTCCAGTATTCTTGCCTGTGGAATTTCATGGACAGTGGAGCCTGGCGGGCTGCAGAAGTCAGACGTAAGTGAGCGGCTAACACAGAAGTTTAAATGCTACAAAGTAACATTAAGTATCATTTCATTCTAACATTAAACTTAAAACACACACACTAAACTACAGCATCCTATTTAAAACGGTATTCATGACATGAAGGTTTGAACTAGTCATAATTGGAACTTTCATTAAATATTAAGAGAAGTTACATGATTTTATTCCTCGCATACAATACCCCCACCCCCAATATGCAACTTCAAAAAGCTGCCTGAAGCCTGTGGTCCGACAATTGTTACCCAAGTAACTTAAGAATGGGCTGCGTGCGAACGGTCTGTGGCGGTGGAGGGGGACGGGTATTAAGGCGGGGGGGTTAGCGTGAAGAAACGGCGTCTAAGATACAAAGTAGAGTTCGAGTAGTTAGAATTTAGTTATCTAAATCCTCGCTACTTTTAAGTGCGGTCAGTTAACTAGCGGCATTGGCAGCAGTTAGGAACTGGTTAGAAATGCAGAATCTTAGGCCCCCGGCCTAGATCTGCTGAATCAGAATGTGCTTTTTAACCGGAACTGCAGACGATCGTACGCATTTTAAAGTCTGAAACCACTGATGTCAATCACACCTTGATTTAGATTCATTCCAATACCAGACTCTCTGGAGAGTCGCGACCTTAAAGACAACGAGGGTAAACTGCCTTTCTCAGGCAGACATTTTATTTTCCTCCCAGGTGCAGTGTCGTGGGGTTTGGCGAGCCCTCCCGAGCCCACTACCGGCGCCTCCGGGGCAGGACCCAAAGGCTGCGGGGCCTACGGAGCCCCGCAATGCGACTGCGGCTGCTGCGCAGGTCGCCACTCCCCTCCCGCAGCCAGCCGTGCTTCATTTACTCCACCGGCCACGCGGAAGGCCGCAAGTGGACACCGGCTGCACGGCTTCCATTCCGGGAGACACAGGGCAGGGGGAAAGACCTCGGGTCCCGCGCCCTGACCCTGCGCATCGCGGGCTTGGGCCTTAGGCCCGAGGCCCTCACCTTCAACACCAAGTCGGTCAGGTAGACGGCAGTCCAGCCGCCCACCACCACTACCACCAGCGATACCGGAATCATGGCAGCGGCGGGGGCAGCGCAGGGAAGGCGATCGCCGGCGTCCTCCCTGCGAGCTGCAACCAGCTGACCGCGCGGCGCCTACAGCCCCAGCATCTACGCAGGAACCAAGCTGCCACGGGTGCCTTTCTCGTAGTGGCCTAAGTTTCCCTCCGGATCCTTCTGGTGGCACATTTGGCCCGCAATGATCGCACCGGAAAAGTGCACGGGGGCTTATTTTCGCGGGACACTTGGGCGCCGCAGTCTAGGCATCAACTAGCCTACGGCTTCCAGCCCTCTAGCGATTTCTTAGTCTTTGGCCCTCCCTGCTGTCTGGTCTCCATTCTCTCTGGTTCTGGTCTGGGGTGTGTAGTTCCTTTTAGTCTCGTGAGAGTTTGGGGTCATCGGAAATAATAATCGTCTCCGCCACTCAGACTGTCTTAGATATTCAGATTTAAATTAATTATGTTCAATCGTTCTTTTTATTGAAACGTTATTTACACATAGTGAAAACACAATACAGATTTCAACTGTTTCAATGAGTTTTGATAACTATATATCTGTGTACCCTAATCAAAATAGAGAACGTTTCCATCTCGGGAATTTTCTTTGCTTGCTTCCCAGTTAATCCTCTCCTCCTCCGCCCATTCCTACCCCTCGTTTTCTTTTTAAAAACCTTGTGTTAATAGAATCATACAATAAGTACTCTTTTGTGTCCGGCTTATTTTGTTCAACATATTTTTGAGCTTTAGGTTCACTTCTCAACCTTTTCCATTATAAAATTTGAGATTGGTGCTATGTTAAAAAAAAAAGTTCTAAACACCCTTACATATTTTTGTATGTTGACATGTACTTGATTATATATTGGCCTGGAGCAGTGGTTCTCAACCTTGGCTGTAACATTAGGATCACCACTGAACTTTAAAAACTCCTGATGCCCATTCTGTAGCTTAGACCAATTGAATCAGAATCTCAGAATGGGACCCAAGCCTCAGTATTTTTTAAACAGTTCATTCTACTTTGCAGGCAAGATTGAGAACCAGTCAACTAGATGATTTCTAATAGGAAGGAAAACTAATATTTATGGAGTGGTTTTTTTTTTTTGTTTGCATTCTCCTAATGCCCAAGCCTTTAAAAGTTAAACTTGTTTTAGCTCTCTGGAAAAGCGTCAGCAGCAATAGTAATACTAATACCGAAATATTGAGAATACCATCTTAAGAATAAGTATCCCAAATAAAAATGCCCCCTCAGCCTCTTGCAAAGTAAAAATATAGTGAATACAAGAAACTTGTATGAGAGATACTGCTACTCATTTGCCTCACTCTCTCATACTTTTCCTAAAGTTTTAATAATTTAGCACCATTTCTTCCAAGCTTCAAGAAACCTTATGATTCAGTTTTACATCTTCTTGCATATATGTTGTTATAAAATGTTTCAATTTATTTTGAACAAAGCTGGGTATAATTATAAAAGTTTATATTCAAGCACCCTGTGATGTCACAGTTTTCCATGTACAGGTATCCCAAAAGTCTTTATGCAGTTTTAGGTTTTGATAATTTCAGAAGTATAAATGCTACAAACTTGAAAAAGCATCACTTGAAAATTTATATTTCTTTTACAGTTATTTAACTTGGAGAATTTTGAATAATTTTAAATTTTAAAATTTTTAGTCCATTGACTGAAACAAAAAACTGAATTATATTTACTGTTCAAAAATTTCTGAGACCAAAGAAACATGAAAGAAATTTAAATAATTTTATTTTTCAAGTGATGTTATGTGTAAGTTCATAGAGTTTGCATTTCTGAAGTTATTGAAGCATAAAACTACACTAAGACTACTGCTACACCATTGTATTTGAACTGACTTTTGTTTGCTCTTGTATAATGACTGTAGTTTTTAACTGTTTTTTTCCTATGATGAGAAAATTAAGAATTAAAATGCTTCTCTTTTGTTAGCCTGAAGCCTTGTCTGGACCACTTTCTGGGAAAAAAAAACCAGATACTTTGTGGCTATCTGATTACCCAAAATATGTAGGAAATGAGTTGACTGTGTTTTTCTGTTCCCAACCTAAATTTTTACTTATTCAACTGACTTGATGTTCACATTAGGGATCCAGCAGTCAAAACTAAACACTGAATAGAATCCTGCTGGTTTCTGGAATTTATCAGTCATGGAAGGTAGCTGGTGGCAGCAGAAAAAACAAGATAGAGGATGCAAGGTGGCAGTAAAAAACATCTGTATTCCAAAAGATCAAGGTATTCTTAGAATAAATGTGATCTACTTTACAAATAGTTTCAGGTTTCTGTCAAGTAACAATCTTAAAGAATGTACAGTCAGGCTTTTATTCATATCATTTTATATAGCATATATTTTTAGAGGGGCACCAGGTATACATTTTGGCTGAATGGAAAATAGCTACATATTAGGGACTTCCATGGCTGTCCAATGGTTAAGATGCCACACTTCCACTGCAAGGGGCATGGATTTGATCCCATGCCCCTGAAAAAAACAGCTACATGTTAAAAATCAGTATTTGGCTGAAGCAGAGTATCACTATCATATAATAAACTTCTGAGATACCAGGATCAACATGAACTATAAATATTAGATAATACTAATTTTAAAATACTACAATTTTGTTGTTAAAAATATAAGTATTCAGATTTTTAGAGTTTGACATTCCCTGCAGGAATATTTATTTCTCATCAATGTAATATTTATTTCTCATCAACTTCTTGGGTCACTATACTCTACATTTATGACACTAACTTGTATCAGTCAGGATAAGCTTGGGAAACCAGCCCTAAAATCCCATTGGCTTAAAATGACAAAGATTTATTTTTTGTTTGTGCTACATATCCAACATGAATTGGTAGACTGATGCAGATTCCATTTTATCATGCCCAGTTCTCAAAGTGAGGCTTAGGATTTAATGCAGCAGAGAAAGAGGACTAGAGTGTTTATCACTGACAGAAAAATGCTATGACCAGACATGCAAAAAATGCTATGACCAGACATGCACACATTACTTCCATTTCTGTTTTATTAACCTAAAGTAGTCGAGTAGCTCTGTCTCACTTAAAGGGCAGAAGGAGTATAATCCTTTGTATACCTAGAAGTAGAGAAGAATATACCTGGAAGTAAACATGAGTGTCATCCACCACATAAGTAGATGCTCTCTTTCATACAATTGGCTTTCAATAAACCAGTCATCTGAGTTTTTCCATCTGTGTTTCAGTTTTGTTTCATGTAGACTAATATCAGCATCTTCCCGGAGTAGAATAAGAGAATCTTTTCAATCACTACCATGTAAGAAATACTTGTACCCTGAAAACATCAATTTGATTACTTCTGCCTCAGGTTCCTGGAAAAGGTCAGTTTTCATTCCAATCCCAAAGAAAGGCAATACCAAAGAATGTTCAAACTACTGTGCAATTGCACTCATCTCACATGCTAGCAAAATAGTGCTCAAAATTCTCCGAGTCAGGCTTCAACAGTGTGTGAACCATGAACTTCCAGATGTTCAAGCTGGATTTAGAAAAGACAGAGGAATCAGAAATCAAATTGCCAACATCTGTTAGATCATCAAAAAAGCAAGAGAGTTCCAGAAAAACATCTACTTCTGCTTTATTGACTATGCAAAAGTCTTTGACTATGTGGATCACAACAAACTGTGGAAAATTCTGAAAGAGATGGGAATACCAGACCACCTGACCTGCCTCCTGAGAAATCTGTAAGCAGGTCAAGAAGCAACAGTTAGAACTGGATATGGAACAAGAGACTGGTTCTAAATTGGGAAAGGAGTACATCAGGGCTGTATATTGTCACGCTGCTTATTTAACTTATATGCAGAGTACATCATGTGAAATGCCAGGCTGGATAAAGCACAAGCTGGAATCAAGACTGCTGGGAGAAATATCAATAACCTCAGATATGCAGATGACACCACCCTTATGGCAGAAAGTGAAGAAGAACTAAAGAGCCTCTTGATGAAAGTGAAAGAGGAGAGTGAAAAAGTTGGCTTAAAGCTCAACATTCAGAAAGCTAAGATCATGGCATCTGGTCCCATCACTTAATGGCAAATAGATGGGGAAACAGTGAGAGACATTATTTTCTTGGGTTCCAAAATCACTGCAGATGGTGAGTGCAGTCATGAAATTAAAAACTGCTTGCTCTTTGGAAGAAAAGTTATGACCGACCTAGACAGCATATTAAAAAGCAGAGACATTACTTTTCCAACAAAGGTCCATCTAGTCAAAGCTATGTTTTTTCCAGTAGTCATGTATGGATGTGAGAGTTGGACCATAAAGAAAACTGAGCACTGAAGAATTGATGCTTTTGAACTGTGGTGTTGGAGAAGACTCTTGAGAGTCCCTTGGACTGCAAGGAGATCAAACCAGTCAATCCTAAAGGAGATCAGTTCTGAATATTCATTGGAAGGACTGATGCTGAAGCTGAAACTCCAATACTTTGGCCACCTGATGCGAAGAACTGACTCATTGTAAAAGACCCTGATGCTGGGAAATATTGAAGGCAGGAGGAGAAGGGGAAGACAGAGGATGAGATGGTTGGATGGCATCACCGACTCAATGGACTTGAGTTTGAGTAGACTCCAGGAGTTGGCGATGGACAGGGAAGCCTGTCATGCTGCAGTCCATGGGGTCGCAAAGAGTCGGAAATGGCTGAGTGACTGAACTGGACCCTCAGGTTCCAGAAAGTATTTTCTCTGTAAGCAGTTTTAATAAGATACATTGTTTTCACCTAAAAAGTATGTTATTTTGGTTTTGCTCTAGATGGCTTTACACATATAGTAGCTGCTATTCCATCTTCTTTAAAACATCTTGTTAAATATATGACAAAGTTATTCTAAAACCTTTGGACAGCATGCATTTTTGTCTTTGACTGAAGTATGATGTAGTGGCCCACTATCTTTCTGCTTACAGACAGTTATAATTGCTTTTGGATTACATTACTGAAGGGTATATGAACAAGACATTGTATGCTTATGATTCCTAAATCACTG